TAGTTCACTTTTGGATGGCTTTATAACAGATTTTTGTGGTAAGCGGTGGTTAGTGTACGATTTAGCAGTTACCGTATATTTTGTCTTCAAAGGAATAATAGCTACAACTTTTCATTTGGTGAAGTAAATTGACATCATTACATTTGTTGCTTACTTCTGTTGCCTGGCATTAAAAGGTAGATTAGCAGATTCTGTAGTCCATATCATTGACTGCTGCATTGCATCTGGGTGGTACTTGTAGACTTCTGTTTATTGAACGCACATACACTTCTTTTTGACCTTTAGTGAAAATTTGAGGTGCCTCTACTGTTGATTTCTTCTTGAATCCATAATGATTGCCTTATATTCACTATAAAGCTATGACATTCAATCTAGTTAATCAGTTATCGTTTCCTAGGTCAATCTTTCATCTCTATTAATTTTGAACTTCACCAGAAGAACCCTAATATTTTCAATCGAAGATTTTGACCGATTTCTGTGAATTTTTTCTTCTACAGACAAATCTCCGAAATCTCTTTAAGGCATTCACAAGCTTTTTCCATATGCTATTTTGCACTCATTTATTATTTCCAGAGATTTACGATTACTCCTTAATCCAGATTCTCTCCACATTCTATTTGGCAATCATTATTAACTATTTTCATAGGCTTAAGATGGTAATCTCCGCAGCAATCCAGAGATTTACGATTACTCCTTAATCCAGATTCTCTCCACATTCTATTTGGCAATCATTATTAACTATTTTCATAGGCTTAAGATGGTAATCTCCGCAGCAATCTGTCAAGAGTGGCGACAAACCCAATCTCTTGCGGTGATAGCGGTGAAATTTGCAGTGATTCATTGTAATTAAGTTTGTGTTTTCTTGTCTCCAATTTAAATATTTACTGTGAAACATCATATAAAATATCCAAATATTGTTTAAAGTCAGTTGACATTTTTTGGTTTCTATTACTCCCTTTGTGTATGCTTAGATCCCAAATTCTCTTATTGAGTATTTCTTAAGAATTTTTTAAGTACTTTAACTAGCCGATCACCTGGATTAACACGTTTAATGTGAATTTCAATACAAAAATTTTTGTTTATAAAAGTATTGATTACTTTGTAAGAAAACGTATTATTAACTTACTTACTTTTTGCGTATAACTCATTAAATTATTCGCATATTCTTCAATTTTTTTCGCATATACATGTAATTACTGATTTGTGTTGAATAGACTGTCAAAGAACAACCTATCAACTCTACTGACACTGTTCAGTCCTCCGCTTAATAATACTAGTTTTACTTCCTTATGATCCAACACCAAACTTAATATGCCAAGAGGCACTCCTCTTTTTGTGGCTCATTGGATTAAGGGAATTTATATGCCTATATAAAATTGAGTTATTATTTAAAATTATATATGCTTGTGCGTATATATATTATGTAATTATAAATATTTTTAGATAAGTATTTGTTTTTGCTTGATTTAAGAAGCTTTCACATCAAGTAACTTTTTTTTGCAACCATCAATCATGTTTTGATTTGATATACGCGATAATGCGGCGGGAGTACGAAATCATAAATCAAAACAGTCTTTAATTAAGGAAATTATGTTTTTATTGCACAGATTTGAGCAATTTGAATAAAATTGTAAAGCACTCAGACTAATAACCCAAATTCAAGGAGCTAAAGACCAATTAATATCCTCATAATCAACATAATCATAATCATAATCATTATTAAAATTACTACACAATGCCAAGAAAAGTAAAATGTTTACCGTTTACCTTTTACCTTTTACCGCCAAACAAATTGCAGACATATTCTAGTCCTGTTATACTGCTACATTGCTGCACCTTGGAGACCTCTTGAGTTTCCAGGTTGAAATAAAACCGTAAAAACGTGTGCTTATATACATAGCCACATAGCTGCTCTCGTTTCATGCTTTCACGGCATATCCTTCAGCATAAGGGAAAATTTCATACAAAGCAAAGCAGGATAATAATGTGTACGTTTACAGAAAGGAAAGCGCAGCACAACTCCTTTTCAACGTTTAATAAAAATATACAATATACGAAATACGAAATACAAAGGATAAAGGCTAAATCCACCTACCACCTATCAACTACCAACTACCAGCTACCACCCAGACACATTCAGTCAGTGCTGCCACAGAAAATTAAAATAAAGGCTGGCACAGACAAACTGTGTATGAAACTAGGTCAATAGAAAATCCATTGTAACAAATTTCATTCTCTGCCTCTTGTTAAATATTGGGCGGTAAATTTTATTTTATTCTTCTTTAATATGTGTCGGCTGCGACACCCTCTATCCTCTATCCACTATCCTCTATCCTCTGGCAGGGAAGTACGTGTGTTTATTGCAACGGGAAAAGTATCTGAAATTGAGGAGCTTAAATTGTTTAATTTGATTTTTCAAAAAGAATTACTGAAATTTGTGGTGTGCGAGAGTTTTATTAAATTTCGCTGTTAATTTTGCTTGTTTTTTATGAAAATGAAAAATTTTATTGAGTTTATTTCGCCTATCGATAGGCGATGAGTAGTGCTGATAGCCTTCCTTGTTTACTGAGCTATATAAATTCAATCAATTCGGTGTTGTTTGTAGTGCTGTTAAAATTATAAAAATTTCATATCGGATTTAATGAAAATGTTAAAGTGTCGGTTGCCTTTAGCTTGTTTGAATTCTAGTATAGATATTTTATTGGTAAATGCTCCATGTGTACCATGATGACTACATGACTATAACGACTGCGACGACTGCGACGACTACGATGACTTCGATGACTGCGATGACTACGATGACTACGAGGCAAACTCAATCAACAAGTTGTGTCATGTAAATTGATGAAATGATTGGCAGTTGCGCTCGATTTAAAAATATTTCAAAACAAAAGTCCAAAACAGTACACGAAGGAAGATTACATTTGTTATCCTATCCTTACGTTCAGTTATTAATATGTAAAATGTGTAAAAGTAAATTATGTTTAGAGTTTATCAATAAATTTTATTGATTCTTTTTATAATTTTTTTTATAGATTTTGGGTAAAATTATTTGTATATTTTGGTGAAAACAAATATTACTAACATATGTGCAAAATCTTTTATATATATATTAATCCTAGCTTGAGGCATAACAATAATTTTTAGTCTCTTATTAAATAGAAGGCTGTATTAATAAGTCAGTGACTTTTTGAATAAAACAAATTTTTTTCGGCAAATAAACATTTTATTTTTCTACATAATCACCTTTTAGCTCAATACATTTAGTCCAGCGTTTTTCTAATTTTCTTATTCCCTCCAAATAATAGGTTTTCTCAAAGCTCTCAAAATACGCGTTTGTTTCGATAATGACTTCTTCATTCGATTCAAATTTCTTACCGCCCAGCCATTTCTTTAGGTTTGGAAACAGAAAATAGTCGCAGGGTGCTAAATCTGGAGAATATGCTGGATGGGGTAGCAGTTCGTATCCCAATTTGTAGATTTTGGCCATCGTGACTAGACAAGTGTGCACACATGAATTGTCTTGATGGAACAGCACTTTCTTCTTCACCAAATGCGGCAGTTTTTGCTTCAAATCAACGTCGAATCTGTTCAAAAGCTTTGAATAATATTCGCCGGTGATCGTTTTACCTTTCTCGAGGTAATCAATGTGAATGGCACCGCTTGCATCCCAAAAAACTGTGGTCATGACCTTGTTAGCTGACAGACTCTGTTTGGCCTTTTTTGGTCCACGTTCACCCCTAGCAACCCACTGTTTCGATTGTTCCTTGGTCTCTGGCGTATTGTGATGGATCCAGGTTTCGTCCACAGTAACAAATCAGCGCAAAAATTCGTTCGGATTACGGCTGAACATCATGAAAAACTCTTTTGAAGTGGTCACACGAGTGCGCTTATAGTCGAGTATACGCAATCCCGGCACCCATCTCGCAGAAAGTTTTTCATGTCCAAATATTCGTGTAAAATATGATGTACCTGTTCAGTTCAGATACCACACCATGAGCCAACTGAAGCACTTTCATTCTCCTATGATCATCATGGGCTAATATATAATCTTGAGTTGGAATGGTAAAGATGTGGTTTTCTATTTCCTTGTTTTTTTTTTTTTATATGTAAATTGTAAGTGACTAGAACTCAAGGCACTAAATCTATATTTTTTTGATGGTGATACATTTATATAGTATCTTTGAGTGCATAAATATTGATTTTTTTAAACACCCAATAATTGAACGTATATATCTACAGATAGCTATAGGCTGGGGAGTGTGTCCACATTGTTTTTTTTTGCCAAGACTGACTATTACAATTAACTTATTGTAATGGTTATTGAAGGTATCTACATTTATAATTAATAAAATTAGTCTGGAATTATACTAAGATTATGTCAATAAAATTTTTTTTTTTTATTTTTTTGTTTTATTTTTTGTTCTATTTGTTTTTTTTACTATTTTTTTTTATTTTGTTTTTATTATTTTTTTTTATTTTGTTTTTATTATTTTTTTATATTTTTTTTTATATTTTTTTATTATTATTTTTTTATTAATTTATTTTTTATTCTTTTTTTTTTTTTAAATTTTTATATTAATAAAATAAAGTTTATTTATAGTTCTGAATATCTGTAAATTGCAGATTGTCGTAGCGTGATAAAGTCAAATCTTTTAGTTGCCGATAACATGATTTACATATTTTAAATATATATTTATTTTTTCTTTATTGTATGATACTGTTTGTTATTTTGACATTTTATCCTTTAACACATCTAAATTCAATGAAAAAATGACCGACTGAATCTTTTGTACTCCCACAATCACAATTTTGGCAACATTGAATAGTTTATTTTTAGACAAAATCGATTTTAATCCTTCTAGTTATTTACTGATAGAATATTTTATCAAAAAGCGTATTGTGTATTTAACAGTTTAACGAATTTATTCTAATGAAGTATTTTTTATTTTTTCATTTTAGATATACCTGACATTCCTGATGACATTAAGCACCTTCAGAGCTTACAAGTGGCTGATTTCAGTTCAAATCCAATTCCTCGATTGCCTGCAGGATTTTCACAACTAAAAAATTTAACCGTTTTAGGTTTAAATGATATGTCATTAACAACACTACCACAGGATTTTGGAAGGTAAATATATCTTCTATATTTAACAATTATTTATTGTGTTATTTTTTATATTATTATTATATTTTTTATGTTATATTTTTTATATTATATTATTTATATTAATTATATTTTTTATATTATATTTTTTATATTATATTTTTTATATTATATTTTTTATATTATATTTTTTATATTATATTTTTTATATTTTATTTCATACATTATATTTTATTTTATATATTATATATTATATTTTTTATATTATTTTTTATATATTATATTTTATATATATTATTTTTTATATTAGTTTTCATATATATTTTATATTATTTCTTTATATTATTTTTTTGTATGTTTTTTAATATTATTTTTTATATTGTTTTTTATATTGTTTTTTACATTATTTTCTATTTTTTTATATATATTTCTTCTATTTTCTTTTATATTATTCTTTCTATTTTATTTTATATTTTTTTTTTTATATTATTTTCTTAAATAATAAAATAAGGTATGTGTGAAACTAGTATCGTTGAAAATAAGTTAAACGGAGCTTCAAGTATTCTAAATTTCATAAATATCATTTACAGCTTAACACAACTGGAGTCTCTGGAATTACGTGAAAATCTGCTAAAACACTTACCTGAATCCATAAATCATTTAACAAAACTGAAGCGACTTGATTTAGGTGATAATGAAATCGAAGAGCTGCCGCCATATTTAGGATATTTACCTGGTTTACATGAACTATGGTTGGATCATAATCAGTTACAAAGACTTCCACCAGAAATTGGTTTACTAACTAATCTAACTTATCTCGATGTTTCTGAAAATAGGTAAGATCTTCACTATTTAGTATTATCATTATATTTATATCTTTATCATGTTTATAATGAAATATATATATTCTATTATAAACTTTTTGTAGACTTGATCAATTACCAGAGGAAATTGGTGGACTTGTAAATTTAACGGATTTGGATTTGGCACAAAATCTCTTAGAAACACTACCAGATGGCATATCAAAATTAAGTCGTTTAACGATTTTAAAATTGGATCAAAATCGTCTACAAAGATTGAATGACACAATAGGAGCGTAAGTTTTTATTTAATAAAAAATAAAAATAAATTCTTGTCTACATTAAAAAAATAATTATTACAGTTGTGATAGCATGCAGGAACTTATTCTTACTGAGAATTTGCTTTCTGAACTACCAGCGTCTATAGGGCGTATGACCAAGTTGAGCAATCTTAATGTCGATCGTAATGCACTCGAATATCTGCCAATAGAAATCGGCAATTGTGCTAATTTGGGAGTGTTAAGTTTGCGTGATAATAAGTTAAAAAAATTGCCGCCAGAACTGGGAAATTGTAGTGTTCTACATGTTTTAGATGTTTCCGGAAATCAGTTACAATATTTACCCTATTCGTTGGTGAACTTACAACTCAAAGCTGTTTGGCTGTCGGAGAATCAAGCACAACCCTTGCTAACATTTCAACCTGACACGGATGAGGCAACAGGCGAACAGGTGCGTTTGATTTATGACATTTAATTTTTATTATTAAAATTATTTTTGTATTGTAGCATAAAAATTTAAAAAAAAATTAAATATATTTTATTTTATTTTTTTTCTTTTAAGGTTTTAACTTGCTTTTTACTGCCACAACAAGAATATCAACCAATAACTCCTGGTGAGTATCAAAATTTTTATTTTTTTATTGTGTTTTAATTATTCGATTCCGAAATCATTTGGTGTTGGTGTTTTAGTGGTTCCACATATCTTCAAGATAGTAAGCCATGAGAATTATATTCTCTATTTTCATCAGTATTTGTTATGAGATAAAGTTGGGATATACTTCTTATCCGTTAGATTGCAGCGTACCATTATCATTTCTAATTCTCTTTATGAAGAGAAAAAAGTTATATCCAAACATGTAATTTTAAGGAGGGGGTTCTAATGAAATTTTTCTTATTGCATTATATTGAGATTTCTTTTAATTTTTTAATTTTAATCAACTTTATTATTAAGTGTAATAAAATTTAAAATTTTATGTAAGTACTCTTTTATGTAGAATTCATTATTTGTTTAAATTGCACATACTTTTTTAACTTATCTGCAATTGCAATCACTCAATAAATTATTGTTATTTTTGGTGTAGTAACAAATCGTTAATAATGAGTAAAGCTGATAAGCTGCAATTTTATTTTAAAAGCTTTGATAAACTAAACGATATCTTTTTATTGAGCAGATGACTAACAATTAATCATTTGAATTTATTGAGAATGCAAAAATATGCCTGTTCGTCTAGTCAGTTCAGTTCAGTATATTTTATTTTATTTTTATTTTTATTAATATTTTTATTTTATCAATATTTTTATTTTATTAATATTTTTATTTTATCAGCATTTTTATTTTATTAATTTTAAAATTTAGATGGTTTTCAAATAGCAAAGAAAAAAAGGACAAACACAAAAATTTATTTAATTTTATTGAAATTTGGCTGACCATACAACACTGTTTCGAGTAATGCCAAGTACTCATCATCAGTGGTCTTAGGGAATAATCGAATTTTCATTAATTTATAGTCCGTATATAATTTCTTTGGAATGCAAGTGCCAGGCTTAGAACTCGTGTCAGCTATGGCACAAATTAAAATTAGAAGCTATGGCTAATCGTGATTATCCACAAGTAGCCAAGGCTGCACAAACTTTCAGTGCTCTAGTTCCAGGTTTTTTGTCACTTTTTTATTTATTTTATTAATAAAAAATATTAGAAAAAAATATATACGATAAAATATAAAATAAAATATGTATTTTATAATATAAAATATTATACGAGAACTAGTTATAAAGTTTCTAAATAAAATATGTTAAAGCAAATTTGATGACTTTGGGTTTTAGAGTCACTGTTTAAAATGCTTGATTCTTCTTCCTCCGAGGTATGTAGCAGTGAGTACATCCTTTGTCAATAGTAATGAATCGATATTACATTTACTTAAAAGCATTACAGCTTTGGGCTTACAATTCAAGCTTGCTCATTTTTAACCACCGATCAGTCAACATTGTGACCTTTATGAAAGGTTTCTGGCATAGTAACCTCAATTGGGTGCTCCAAACCATTTATATCTGAAATCGTGCTACTAACCTGTTTTTTCTCTTCAGCTCAATTGTATGAGATTGTCATTTTGAAAACATTGAAAACAAATCAGCCGTTTGAATTTCTTTAGAATACAATGTGTGAACCTTAGTTATTTTAATTTCTTCCCATAAATTAAAAGAGATTGTGATTTTGGAAATTCCGAATCAGTCCTTCGTTTTGAGTTTCTTTAAAATATAATGATCCTGGATTATCTAAAAAATGTGTAACTTCGGTCGCTCCTGCCATAAAATCTTTAATTTGCAGATGTTTGATTCACTACACGTATTAAAGGGAGAACACAAATATTGTAGATGAACACATTTATGTCTAAAAAAAAGGACAAAAACAACGCATTATAGTCCTCTAAAAGAAATAAAAAAAAAATGGAACACATTCTCTTTAAAGAAGATATTAATGTATACCTAATTATCGTGCTTTGTAAAGAAGAAGCAAGAATGGAAATAAATAATCTTTAAGTTATGGATCACTTTTTTAACCTTTTTAATGAATTATGTTTGTTCAAGAAACATAAAAGAAATGATTGTTTATGTATATAATTTTTTTTAATTAAATGATTAATTTGTTTATTTGGTATTGAAAATATAGTATTATTTACCTAATAATTACATAGCTATTTATTACATATATAATATATACATATTTATTGTACTTAATTCATATTATATTATTTGCAGAGTATTTATTTTTATGTTATGTGTATTTATAAAATTATAATATCTCTACAATCTGTATGTATGTATTGTATAAATATGTATTTGTGACCTTGATTGTTTTGTTGTATATATATGTGATCTTTTTTCAAATTATTTTTATTCATTTTAAAGTTGCAGGTTTATGATTATTTTTATTAATTTGTATTAATATTAATGTTAATTAATACTAATTTTTATTTAGTTATTTTTATTAATTTATATTAATATTATTATTTATTTAGTTGTTTTTATTAATTTATATTAATATTATTATTTATTTATTTATTTTATTATTTATTATTTTATTATTAATTTATGAATAAAGTATTAGTGTTGCTGTTAAGCTAGACTTACTTTGTATAGGGACAAAGAAGCTTTATTAAATTTTTAGAAGGGTTTTCGAATAACAAAGAAAGAAATAAAGGACAAACACAAAAATTTATTTTTTAATTTTTATTGAAATTTGGCTGACCAAAGTGCTTTGGTTGTTGTCACTAATTAAATAAAAATAAGTGACAATAAAACCTGGAACTTGAGCATTGAAAGTTTGTGCAGCCTTGGCTTCTTGTGGATAAACACGATTAGTCATCGCTTCTAATTTGACAGGCACGAGTTCTAAGCCTGGCACTTGCAGTCCAAACAAATTATATACGGACTATAAGCTAATTAAATAATATTCGATTATTCCCAAAGACCACTGATGAAGAGTACTTGGTAATACTCGAAACAGCGTTGTATGGTCAGCCAAACTTCAATAAAATTAAAAATAAATTTTTGTGTTTGTCCTTTATTTCTTTCTTTGTTATTCGAAAACCCTCTAAATTTTAATAAAGCTTCTTTGTCCCCATACAAAGAAAGCGTAGCTTTATAGTAACACTAATACTTTATTCAAATATTAGACTTGTGAAAAGTAAAGAACAATATGTTAAAATATAATATTGTTCAACTTTTCCTAACCGCGAAAGCGGATTTGTAGAATAACATAGCATAGCTTCTTTGTAAAAAGCACCAAAATGGTCGCTTTACATATAGTAAGTAAAACAATATGCATTACAAAATGTCTCTACAAAAAGAGTAGCTTTGAAAAGAAATAAAGAAATAGGCAAAACCCAAAAGTTAAACTTTCAATTCGCTGAACTTGTGTTTCTAAAAATAAAGCTGAAGTTTATAAGCTCGTTCTTATTTAAAAAGCACGGCAAGTGCGTTGGTTGTTGTCACTAATTAAATAAAAATAAGTGACAATAAAACCTGGAACTTGAGCATTGAAAGTTTGTGCAGCCTTGGCTTCTTGTGGATAAACACGATTAGTCATCGCTTCTAATTTGACAGGCACGAGTTCTAAGCCTGGCACTTGCAGTCCAAACAAATTGTATACGGACTATAAACTAATTAAATAATATTCGATTATTCCCAAAGACCACTGATGAAGAGTACTTGGCAATACTCGAAACAGCGTTGTATGGTCAGCCAAATTTCAATAAAAATTAAAAAATAAATTTTTGTGTTTGTCCTTTATTTCTTTCTTTGTTATTCGAAAACCCTTCTAATTATTAATTTATTTAATATTTATTTGTTCTATTTATTTATTGTGTTAATTATTTATATATTGTGTTATTTATTTATTTATTGTGTTATTTATTTTTTTATTGTGTTATTTATTTATTTATTGTTTTAATAATTTATTTATTTCTTGTTCTATTCATTTATTTATTGTTTTATTTATTTATTTATTGTGTTATTTATTTATTTATTGTTTTAATTATTTATTTATTTATTGTTCTATTCATTTATTAATTGTTTTATTTATTTATTTATTTATTGTTTTATTCTATGTTAAATTATATAGGCTTTTAAATCCTTAAACAATTTTGATCAAATCTTAAAATCGTCAATCCACACAATTTTGATATGCCATCTGGTAATGTTTCTAAGAGATCTAGATATGCTTTTATTTAGATTTTAAATTTTTAGATGCTTTTTTGATTTAATGCCAAATCCAAAACTGTTAAACATATAAGTCCTCTGATTACTTCTGATAATTGATGAAGTTAATGTATATATATATATATATTGTTTTAGCTAAATGGTCTATTCTAAATAATACACAAATTTCTTTAGTAGCCTTATGAAAGATGATTATAGAGCATAGTCGAAGTATTGGTAATAATAAAATATTGGTAATAATAAAATATTAGTTTAAAATAATATAAAAATTGTGTATTATTTATCATTGACCAATTAGCCCGCACAAAAATATATAAATATTAATTTTTTTTTAATAATATTTGCTATGTTATTATTATGTTTATCGGTACTAAGTCAACAAAATTCTTTTATCAAAATCAGTAAAAAAAAACATTCTATAAATTTTAAGTATATAACAAATTCACGGCTGTATGGTATACACATTATCTTTATAATAAATTTAAGTAATTGTTTGCTATTGAACCTGTTCAACTCTTTGTTTGGAAATGTTGTGCAATAAAATATTTTGCTGACAGTTTTCCAAATAATAGATTTTTTTCTCTTTTTTTAAAAATATTTTTATGCTTAACTTTTGTGATAAGATAACAAATTGAGTTTAGGGCCAAACGTACGTTTACTATCTTGAAGATATGCAACGAGCCACTTTTCGTTCACAAACACACACTCAGATACAGATACGCTCTCACAACCTCAAACATTGGCAAATAAAGCACCGCGCAACGCTTATAGATTACATTATTGACACCGATTTTGCAATGGGTTGGATGGGTTAATTTTTTAATTAAATTTTTTATTATTAATTGAATTAATTTTTTTAAAACTACTTTTTAACTTAAAAATACATTTATTTATTTACATTTTACGCTTTTAATAAATTTATTAATTTTGTTTATTTTTCACTCATGCACAACTTATTCATGACAAAATAAAAACAACTGCACCTGCTACAAATTAAAAAAAAAATATAATATAAAAAATGCCTTAAAATTGCTAATAATTAAAAAAATTAAAACAAACAAAAAAAAATATCAAAAAAAATATTACCGAATATATTGCAAAAATGTGCGATAAGATTATCCACCGGGTCAGCTTTACAGATCGAGTGAGAAATTCGATTCGACGGACTTCCACATTTACCAACAACAAGGTTTGCTGCTTGTATTGCATAATTTTGAGTAATGGCTAATGTCTTTAACCGCATTGCGTTGCCAAATATCTAAGCATCTAAACTGTTAACTAAAGATAGTAACTAATTAACACTCTGTTTTTGTTTTGTTTCTTTGGATTGCTCAACTAAGCTGCCTGCACACCACTGGCTTAAATAGTATATGCACGTTTTCGTAGACGAATGTGAATTTCTTTCGACAGATCGCCATATGCACTTACCATAGATACCATAGATGCCATATGTACCATAGATACAAAGTTAGCTAATTAAGTGCTCATGTCTAGATTGTAGTTGAGATTCATAGCTCTAGTTACTGTAATTAATACCCACCTATCACTAACATACTTTTTCACATTTTATTTAAATGCTAACGTTCTCCGCTGCTAATAGTTTTTTTTTTAGTATTTCATTTGTGTCCAAAGTTAGCGTCTTCAAGACTTCTCCGTGCCGGGTGACGTAATCTTAAAGGCGTTGGCCACATAAAGAGCCACATATTTTATTTCTCGTTTGCCGTCTACATTTCGGTCGGTTTACATTCCAGTTTACTTAATATTATTATTATTATTATTTTGATATGTAGTCTGAGTTGCCAAAGCATACGTTATCAAATTAAAATTTCAAGGCATTAGAGCTCGAGCTCTTCACTCAAAGTTAGTCAAACATAATTTATGCGTAATTCGTGTAAAAATTGCTACTAAATTGTAGTTGTTAAAATTGTAGTATCTAAATTGTAACGGAGTTGAGTTGAATTTGGTGTTTAGTGGAAATTTATTTTCATTAAATAATAATTTTATTACAGAAACAACCAACTTGTTATTTATCATGTCACTTAAAAGAAGAACAGCTACAACTTTTCCAGAAAAGATACGGAAGAACAACATATAGAAATCATCTACGTAATCAATTTTCATAATTTCGTGTTATCTTTTCTGTGAAAATATATATATTTAATAGATTTAATATAGATCTAATATTTGTGCTAGCAAAATATTATCTAAATTATAAATTATCTAAGTTTTTAATATTAGTACTAGCTCTATATCTAGTTGTTGTTGTAGCCCGCCAAGACCTATAAAGCAGATAACATGAAAGGGGTTACTTAGACCCATGTATACGGGATTGTATAGGAGCAAGAATGGATTGGCGAATGGGTGGATTCTAATTGATCGTGTTTGTTATTAATAACAAAATTTCAATCCATAAGCTAAAAAATATTAAACTTGTAACCCTCATTTTGAGTCTCTCTATTTATAGACCTATAGATTTGCCTATGCTTCTGTTTATCTATCTACAATTTTATGTATTTTAATTGTTATACATATAATGTATGTATATTTGAACAAAAAGAGTTGAATTTTGGTTTTACAGAAGCTTCAAATGTTCAAAAGTGCTGACGACTATGGACCCGGGTTCAACATAGTCACGTAATCTTTCTAATGGGTATTTTAGCACAGCTTTTTACAAAAAATTTTATGATAATGTTGCCTGTGTTGCAACATCTAAAGAAGATACCAAAACGTTAACGGACGATAACTACGCAGTTGTAAAATCTTTCTAATCCTGAACCACTAATTCGAAATTATTCAGAAAATTTCATATTCAATTTGGTTACTCCGAATACTTTTTCACAATATATTCTAATTCTAAAAGTGCATTAGTACTTAAAAATATCTCAAGAAAAGTGTTCGAGCAGACCTTGGCGGACTGCACAGATCCAATGCGGTGAAACAATTAATTTAAGTGAATAACAAAAATGACAGCCTAGTTGGATAAAAGCTTTCTTAATTGGACATATTTCTGATGGTGACCACGTTCTTAAAATGAAATTAAAGATACGATACCTGCAGATTTTGTTAAATCCCAAATGTAATTTCGACCTATCTCATCTATGCGTGATTGTTAGGATATGAGACGAGTACCTACGTTTGTCATTCATTGAACCGAATGAGGTTTAGAGTACGACATCAAGAGATATAGTTGAGCTTGTTCATAGAATTTGATTTACCCTGGTATATAGAAAACTCTCTTCAGGGGCAGCACAAGACACAGCATTGTCCCTCAATGTTGTTGTTCTTCTTCTTTAAAGAAGAGAAAAACTACTGTAATTATTTCTACACATAATAAAGGAAAGGTTTCCTACTTGTAATGAATGTGTTATCTCACAGGTTCATAACATTGGCATGAATCTTGAGAACGAAGTTTTAATACGAACCCAATCCACACGAAAGATGTAATCTCGAAAAGAATAACGATCGATACTCAAATTTAATAAATGACTTCGGAAAGCGCACGCCATCGCTGCTGGTCTCTATTGGCTTCCCATTTCGCATGCTTATATATATGGTGAGACGTTGGGACAGTAAGTGGCCCACTGAAGTGAAGGATTAGCCGAAGTAGATTATGAAACTACTTGGGTCCTTTTTCGTTCTTCTATTCTCGGATGTCGTTATTGAGTTAAAGCTGGCGGCTTCCATTCGCATAACTACACCTCTTGTTAATGCAAGCAGCTCATTTAATTTCGCATGCTTACTATTAATAGTATGAATTATGTAATTGTTGTAATTATAAAACCACGTATTCAGCTTTTATACTAAACATCATCATTGCATACATATCAAAATAACATTAAAATAACGCACTCACAAATAGAAAAAGATTACCAAACTGTTGAAGAAATTAATTTGATAATGACATTTTTTTGATTATAAAGTCATGCAATTCATCTTTGATAGTAAGTTTCCATTGCAACATTCAATCTATAGATCTAAATCTTTTTACAGATTTTAACTTTTTCTAATATGTAACGAAATAATAACACTTAAAACCCTTTCCTTCCGTTTACTATAATCTTATACAATAGATCTACCATTCATCGAGTCGTCTTCCTATTTCACAATAGTATATATGCTTTTATAACAGAGAAGAATCACTATTACAGCTCTTAAATAAGAAGTTATTACATATAGAGTATCACAATAAGATGTAGGTGACTAATATTATTGGTTTTCGCTCTCTCTTCTGTTCATTCTTTTTTACTTTCACTCTCGCACTATATATTTCCCTCGTTTCTCTTTCTACCTCTCGCGCTTAATTTACAAATCCTACTCACTCTATCACCCCTTTCTCTTCGTAGAACTTCATAGTTTCTCAATAATATATTATAGTCTCGAACTGTATGGTCAGTCAAAAATTCTATTAATTAAAATAATATAAAATGAATTTTTGTTGTTGTAGTTCATTAATGCTCTGAGTTCTCTACTTAACTTTCTACAGCTTTGCGAAGGGCATATGTCCGATTATTTGTTAGAACTTTCTGGCTTCTTTTGGAAGCATTGGCGACAAAGTTTGTATTATGTATTTGATATATAATAATATTAATATTTTCTTAATATAAATATTTTTAATTACATTTAATATCGACACAGTATTTTCTTATTCATAATTTTGCTAAAATACAGAAACACAAAAATTTATTGCAGTTCCGTCGAACTGTTTTATGATTGTTGTACGAATATTAAAATTTTATTGTTAATTTCAAATTCCATAAATATTTCACTAAACTCATGTGAACAGACAATTAAATTAGAAGGTAATTAACACTGCATAACCTCTCCGCTTCCCACTCATTAAACTGAAATTATCATCGCTAATAAACTTAAAATTGTTGATGTTCGGAACATAAAGTACAGCATCGCATCGATGCCAAGGTCGATGCCGAATTTTATTGTAAAAACACAATTCAAAGTGAATGCCGATATGAAGTTTTAAGGAAACAATGTATAGAATAGATCTAAACCACTTCCGAAGAATATCAACAGAACCCACCCAGTATATGACAGAAATCTAGCACTGGGTTGGGTTGCGTACTGGGTAGCGATGATATGAGATACTTGTGAGAAAAAGTTCTTGTATGTGGACATTGTTTCTATTAATTCATGTAACTTATGGCTTGCTTTTCTACTCGACTCTATAGTTTTTAGTTTTAAATAAAAATTCAAACTAAAAGTCTTTAATTTTTATGCAAATTATTTAATTTAATTCGTCTCGTCGCGTTCATTTTAAGTGACTGAAGCTGAATCTGAAGCTGTAGGTAAGTGTATTGTCTAATTTGTGTTACCCAGTTAGTCACATATTTCGTATGTCGTAACTTACATGTAATAAAATTATATTTTACATAAATCTTAAATAAGTAGAGTGACCCTGACTATAATATAAACTTTTTATTTCATTTCATTTCATTTGAATTCATTAGGTGGCGCGCACATCGTCGTCAAGGTGGTGTGTGCTGACATCTGTGCCCTTTGAGCACTTAATATTTTCATTAGTCGACCGACCTGCGTGCATATACATTTTAGGCAAATTGGTTGCTGGTTCCAAATAGAAGCATATAGAAGCCAAAGCCTTTAATTTAATCAAAAAGCATAAACCGCAAATTAGAAAACTACTAAAAAATGGCCATCAGATTATATTATTGTATTATTTAGTAAAATAGTTTGCAAGAATATAACCAACCAAAAATTTATCAAAAAAAAATAAAAAAAAAAAATAAGAAAAAAATTTCCCTAAATCATAAATCGCTTAATAAATAATATTAATTCAAAATAATCACTAAAATCGTTTGTTGTATGCTTTGTAGCTGCTTTATTGGTTATTTGAACGCTTACACATAATCGCAATTTGTTAAAAAAAATGCATGAAGTTGAAATAAAATCAACAATACAAAAAAAAATATAAAGAAAGAAATCTTAAATATTAAATATTTTGTTTATTTTGTACCAGCACGCGAGCAGGAATCCGGCGACTCTGAAGGCTGGGAAGAGCGTGAAGCCACAAGAACACATTCCGTTAAGTTTTCTGAAGATTCAACACACGAGAAGGACACACCATTTGTGCGCCAAAACACACCACATCCCAAGGAATTGAAGGCAAAAGCACACAAGTTGTTCGCGAAAGAACGTAGCCGTAATGATGAGGGGCCCAATTTGGATACTCTCTCCGAAGAGGTAAATATACATAAATATTTGTAATGTATTTCAATTAAGTTTCCTTTTTATTACTTCTTTACGCATTCAATTTACAGCAAAGTTCCGTAGTCACACCTGTTAGTGGTAAGATGGACCTTAATTCTACTACAACAGACTTTATAGCAGCAGAGGCAAAAACCGCTTATGAAAATCACCAACAACCAATTTCACCTCAAACACAAACAGCACCAACACAACCCACCACCACTCAACAACAAAACAATACTAATGCTAAACGTGAACCGATTGCTGTTGTAGCGCCAACTGCAGCAGTAACGAACGATGAAGAAGACGATAATGATGATTATGTGAGTAAAGATTACAACCATTTCTGTTAAAATTTTATAATACTATAAACATTCTTTTAATGTAGTGATGGGAAAAAAAAAATTATAACAGAATTTTTATAATAAATGTATAATATAATTATAAATAATTATTTATAACAGAATTATGTATTCAAATTTTTAAAAGTTACTTATAACTGAATTTATAACAGAAAACGATAATGGCGATTATGTTAGCAAAGAAAACAACTAATTCTGTTAAAATTTTATAACAGTATTGACGATTTTTAATACAATATCAAATCAAAAGTGGCTATAACAGTTTTTTTAAGAAATTTTATTACAAAGAATTAAGAATATAAAAATGATATATAAGAAATTTTATGAACATTTTATAATAGAATTCTTTATCAATATTTGTAAAAATTACTTATAACAGAATTTTCAAACAAAAACTATAATAACGATTATGTCAGTAAATATATAAACCATTTCTGTTAAAATTTTATTACAGTATTGACAATTTTTAATACAGTTTCAAAACAAATTTATTATAACAGTTTTATGCAGAAATTTGCTAACAAATTTAAATTTGTTATATATATTCATATAAATAAATTTTTATGAATATCTTATAACAGAATTTTGTATGGATTTTTTTAAAAAAGGTTTATAACAGAATTTTTAAACAACGATAATAACGAATATGCCAGTCAAGAAAACAACCATTTCTGTTGAAATTTTATAATTTTATAACAGTATTGACAATGTTGATAGTGTCATGTCACTAATCATTTGGCTTTATAAAATATAGTATCTAGCGTAGATCTTATTTATTTATTAGGATTCTCATAATAGCAAAATCGTTTATGGAAAATATCCAAAAAGAAATGAAGCGAAATTTGAAATATCTGCAAATATATAAAATAAACCGGAATCCCTAGACGCAGTAACCCAAATCGGAATGGTCTCAAGTGACTAAATTAATTAAAATCATAACTTACGCTATATAAGAGGATGACTTAAATAGGTCATGTCGGATATATTATAAATCATAGATATTTAAAGAAAAGCTAAATTTTGAATAATAATGTTAATAAAAATTCAAATGTTAATAATTCCAATGTTAATAAAAATGCAAATGTTAATAATTTCCATGTTAATAACAATATTAAGAAAGTTAATATTAATAATAATGTTAATGTTTATAAAACGATAATAATTAACATATAAACATTTTCTTACACTCGTTTAACTTTTTAACAGAAAGCAACTTCGAAAAATGAGTTATTCTGTTATACTGTTATATATACTGCTATACTGTTATGTTGTTATATATTCAGCATTACATTAATCGGTTAACATACCTACTATTGAGTTCGTACACACTCAACAATAATGTTGTTGAAATAGGCTCTGTTATTAACGGTTCTAATCTATAATAAATATTTTTTTTTCTACAACTCACACCAGAAACTCAATTTTTAAATTGTTGAAAGCAATATAATTTATAAAAATACTGTATATAATATAAATATAGTATAATCATAATTATTTATTTATATAAATATTCATAATAACAAAACCTTGTATAAATTGTATTTAAATAAATATTAAAAAAAATTAAATAAAATAATATAATTAATACATAATTAATAATATTTATAAATATTTTTTATTTTATTATTTTAGGAATCAGAACGACGAGTGGGATTCCAAGTTGATGGTGAAGAAGATGATTTTTATAAAAGACCGATGAAGTTACACAGACGGTAAGACAGAAATAATTTAAATTGAACCAGTTTAAATTTTATAAAAAAACGCTTATTGAATAAATATATATTTCTTAAAAATGTTATAAATATATTTTGAATAATTAATTCTATTAAATTCTATATATTTATATTAAATCTAATTTAAATAAAAATAAATTAGCAAGAACAGTAGTACAAACGAAAATGCCAGCACGATTCTTGTGTCTACTCTTTCTAAGTTGATACACAGTAGCACTTTCTGGATTAACTTCTGTGACTAACTTATTTTCCCATAATTTTATCAGATAGGAAAGTAAATAGGGTTTAAATTTTGCAAGTGTGCTGGATAGGGGAGTATTTCATACTAAAGTTTTAGAAATTATACCATGTGTAAATTTATGGGCTGCCTTGATGAAAAAATACTTTTTCGGGCTATCTCGTTGTTCATCAAGGGATACTGAATCCAACAATTTTCTAGCCGGAGCATTTTTCACATTGGCACGACATGACCGAGCCAGCGAAGCCGCTGAATTTTATTGCACTTAACTATTTCAATCTCGCGGTATAGCTTATAAAGGTAATCATTCCATCAAATTCGAAACTCGTTGCCCATGAGGAATGACCATAGATCTTCCGAATAATTTTTCTCACCTTAGACAGAATACTATTTATTTATTTATTCTATCAATTTATTTGCATATTCTATTTATTTATTTTCTCTATTCTATTTATTTATTTTATCTATTCATTAAGGGTACTTTAAACATTAAGCATATGTAGTTTTAAAAAATGTTTGTCGTCCTACTATTAATTTCTTAAAGTAACTTAAGAATTTTTGAGGCAAATTATAAATAAAATAACTATCTTTTATTTAATATCAATTTTTCCCAGATACAATGTTTTATGCAAATCATACAAGCAAAGAAAAATACAATCTCGCAATTGTCTTGCTGTTTTCGATTTGATTAATAGATTTTACATATCCGAATATCCAATTATGTCAATATGTAATAGATATTGTATGTATATCGTTAAAAATATTTATTTTTCTTTACTTATATATTCCAGCGATACGCCACATCATTTGAAAAACAAACGTGTCACGCACAATCTCACCGATAAGAAAGCCAGTGAGATTATTGCGAATGCACTGATTCAGGAAAAGAAATTGCAGCAGCTGCCGCCGGTGCAGTCACCGATACAAGAAAACGTTGATGCTGAACAAAGTGAACAACAAAGCGCAAATCATCCATTCGATGCATCTCTTTCACCAATTCCACCAGCTTCACCACCAAGCACCGCACCAGAGGCTGCCCTACAAGAAGGTAAGCAGGAATTTGAACAAAATAATGCAACTTATTTGTGTACTGAGTTCGTGATTAGTCTGAAGATGCTTTCACGGAATACATTATCGAGATCATTTCGTGGAAATACCAATTTTTTAAAGTGTTCGACTACTTCTTTAAGAAACGTAGAATAAATTTTTTTTTAAATATCTAATGGAATTTATATTCTCATTCTCTATAACATGCTTTCAGCAAAGTTTTTACTTTTGAAATTTGTTGAAATGTATTTCCAACCTTTCAAGTGATTTCTGTTTTAAGAAAATTGTATTCCATAAAACATACCATAAACAACTTTTTCTAATGTAACGCGTAATGCTTTTCACATATCGCAAATGAGATTACATTTTGCATTATTTTTATGGCAATAAAAATAAAGGAACTCACAACGCAACGAATAATAATAATTTTCCTTTGTCAAAATATTGAATTGGCACTTGACAAAGTGAGAACGACGCGAAAAATCAACCTGCAACTGTTGCAGATACCCGCAAACCGCAGAAATCGATAAAAAATCAATACAAACATTTTCCCCGGCTTGGGTTTCTTATTAAAATTTACTCGAACACAAATTGAGTGACGTTCGTGGCAGAAATGTATTGTATCTTTCAGTTCACTTGTTCAGTTGTTCAGTTGTTCAGTTGTCTTCGCTTGAAGGGAGTATCTACGCATTACTCACAACGACACAAAATCAATTTTACCTTTTTAACGGATGAAACTGTATTTGCTACCATCGCTTCTATTCGTTCCATTTTTTCCGATATTTTTTTCTTTATTTTTGCTTAACCCACTTTAGATAGAGCATGGAGCATGGAGCATGGAGCATTGTTATTCTAACAATGCGAATAGAATTTTCCATCTATAAAATTTTTTAAGGTGGCAATTATTGTTGCGAATTCCGAAATACTCGCAAAAAACTGTTGATTTTGCGGTTCAATCAGCCTTTTTGGGATAATAAAGGGTTGAAAGTATTATCATTATCACTTTTGTTCCTTTGAGTGATGAATTCGAAATGTTTCTCACAAAAGATTGAAATGGGGTTATTTTGTGGAGTATAAAAGGACAATATTTTTTTAAGTAAAGTAAATAAGCGAAGTAAATATTTTGAGTGTTAATTTATTTGTTAATTTGATTGTTTCAATGAATGTGACACTTTAAATTTAAAATAGAAATCAGAATTTTAACTTTGTTACTTGTATTGTATATTGTTTATACATGCCACTGTAATTGATAGACATTCGCAGAAAAGTCCAGTATTAATAGATGATTAACGTTCTTTCTTGTTGTTGTAATAGCTCACTAGGACCAGTAAAGCAGATAACACGAAAGGTTTACACGTCGAATACATAGGTTGGGTTGTGGATGGGTGGTGGTTGGGAGAGGGAGAATAAAGGAGTATATGTGGGTATATGGTGGGTGGGAATTTTAATTCAGCTTATCCTGGGTCCAGGCGACGAAACTTGTGCACTTCAAGAGGGTGGGCTCAAAGATCAATTGGACGATATTTGCCTGTAGCAAAAAATGGTTATAAATCAGCCTTCGACTGTAGCTGACAGGGGCAGAGATTGAAATAGGAGTTTCTATAGAACAAGCGCTCAGTCTAGCGCTAGAGGTGTTTACAGAAACAACTCTGTAGTCAGTTTCCTTTTACTTTGAGCGCAGGATAGAATAACCATTAATGACAGTATGAGTATACAACTATCTCTTTGTTGCGTACCTCAAAGTTTCCAGACAACGTTGGCATGTCCTTGCATGCAACTGTGAAAACAATTCTTAAAATTTTATTTCGGTTTTAAAAGCTCATATATTTTCTTTATACAATAATATTTTTCATATCGAGGCATCATGATTGATCTAATGCTGTCATATGTGCGATGTTATCCTAGGATATTATGCTAGTCTTCCTCTGCTTCACGGAAAAAACAATTTCTAACATAATGAAACAGAACGATATTTATTGATTTACATTCTTAGGGGTATGCCATCGACTCTAGAAATGAAAATAAATTATAAATGGTTATTATCAAATGAAGCCTAATGCAGATTAGGTTACTCTAACTTAAATTTCTGATTTTTCTAAACAAAACTGAGCGGATCGAGTAGAGAGAAAAAAAACCCGAAGATATCATAATTCGACAATCTCCATCAAATTCTTGCAAATACAATAACAGACAAAGTGTTCTGGGTTATTCACATCCTCGAAACGTGACTTCATTAAAAAGATTTCGGACCATCTATAGTTCAGTTACAACTCTTATTAATCCTTCCACTGATGTTATTTTTCCTTCTTATTTCGGACCATCTACTTTTGTCGGTAGAAGGAATTGAGGAATCCACTTAAGATGAATTTGATTTTATTTTGCAACGATATTTTCATCTTACATTCGCTTAATATTTTTGACGCACTTATGGATCAACAGCAGCTTTTTGATTGTTTACTGTTAAAAAAACAACCTGTAAGTGTGAAATCTTTTAATGAAGTGTTAATTATTTGGGTAAACAAACTCACAATTTTCCAGTGGCCTTGCAACTTTTGACTTAGTAGGCAGTAGTAGTTTGGCATGAAGCTACTACGCTCAAAAAGATACTATATCTGTTTTATTGAAATTAATGAAAAATAACTGAAAATAATTAAATTTTAAACAAATAATTGCTTAAATAATTAAACAAAACTGAAAGTAATAAAATTTATATATATAAGTGTTAAAAAGAATATAATAAAATATAAAAACATAAATTATATATTCAAGAGCTTTTTATAAAAAATAGGTTAAATATATACTATATATAAAAATCGAAAGTATATAACAAATATATTAAATATATAATAAGACGTAAAAAGGAAAATTATATATAATATATGCGTATGGAATTTTATTATATATAATATATGTTATAATATATGCTAAAATATGTTACAATATTATTTATAAATTGTATGTTTAAATGTTTATGTTATATGATTATATATAATATATATAAATGTCATATTATTGTATATATATATATATAATATATATATATGCACAAAATATCGGCCATCATTATAGAGTGTACTGCTCCGGTAGAATTCAGTACTTAGGTTATTCTATTCAGTTACTTTATAATATATTATATTAAATAGTTGAGATTGCAGTGTGTTTTGGTATAATTTTTAATTTTATTAATTTAAAAAAAATTTATTTATAGTTTATAGAAAATTTAAAATATTTTAACGAACGAATTGAAAATAAATAAATTAAATAGAATAAAAAATTCATTGCATTGAAAATAAAAAGCTATAAAAAATAAATAAAATAGTCTTTAAATGTTGCTATAAAAATTTTTTTGTTTATTAGTAATTTTTAAAAAAAGATTACTTATACGCAATGCATAATCATTTAAGCAACAAATTCTTCTGCTATTATTTAATTTCTACAAATGTATATATGCTTACATATATATACAGGAATACATGCAATATGTATATATACATATATATGTGTATGAAGTATGTATTAATTTCAACAAAAGCAATCTTATCAACCTGCTGTTATCAGGTAAATAGAGTTAAAGTTAAGTTGAACTGAACTGTGTTGAGTTTCGCTGAAATTGTTTAAATGAAAATTGCAAAAATAAACGTGATAATTAAATTTATGAACATTAAAGTAATAAAGAGTAAAAAATAATTTCTCAACTAATAGAGTCAACGTGTATTGCGTTTTAATCTGCTCATTTACGGTACTCTTCCCACACCCAACTTACACTCTTATCCCAACGATACCGCGGTATATAACAACTACTTCTCCACCTATGCTCATAATCTCTTCAATTCGCTATCGAATTGTATCTCAACTCTGCGTAGACTTGCGAGTATATCAACAAGTGGTGCAGCAAAAAACCGAATTGGGCTTGCTAATTGGTTGTGAGGCTCTTGGACGTCTATGGCATAATTTAGTTATTTTTTTCACTTGTCAACGTTAACAGGTGCTTCAGTCCGTTGTATCCGTTGTAAAAAAAACTCAGATTCTGTAATTACACACTCTACCCCTTCTATTTGTGTACATACGAACGCTGTAGATACGCTTGTAGATATTGTATCTTGTTGTTGCTTTCTGCTTTCGTACGCGCTCAGATATTGCACTTGTACGGCGTACGGGTACGAAAAAAATATATTATTTTCCATACTCGTTAGTCATAATCGAACTTTAAATCGCGAAACGTACGTAAACGAAACACTAATGAAATGAAAAAATATTTAAATAAATAAATTTAATTAACGCAAACGAGTACGGAACGATATTTTTATATGAAATTTTTCAGTACGTACGGTTTGGGTTAAGAAATTGTCGTGTTTTTGAAGTAAACGTGATCGAAAGACTTTTTTTCATTTATAAAAATAAAATATTTTATATAAACAATAAAAGTTATATAAAATCAGCTATTTTGTATACTTTTTTCAATGCAGCTGAATCAATTATAAAGAAGTTTATTGCACTAAAAAATAAAAAATCGGATTAAAAAAATTACTCATACGCAGCGTGTTACCGTTTAGTCCATTATTTTTTTTTTTTAATTTTTTTTTTATTAAAACTAAAGAGAAAAATATTTATTTAAATAATAAAAATATTTTTCACCACATTTGTTCTTCGTAAATAAATGCTGCAGGATTTTTCTTGAATTTTAATAACAGAATAGCTTTGGGTGTGCTGTCTACGGCTTTATTGTTTTAAAGTAAAATTTATATTTGCAGTGCAAGGATTTTATTGCTCTTAACCAATCAACCAAACCGCTTGTATTATTTACATTATCGCTTCGAATTTATTTCATCCACAAATCTTCAGCAAATTGTTGCACTCTTATTTGCATTTGCAGGTATTCATATCCGAGCACAGATACTTGTGTATATAAATCAAATTTATTTGGTTATCTGCATCATACCAATACTTCATACATATATATGTATATATACGTATATACGTAAAATATTTGAAATTTATTTACGTTTTTTTTTTTTAAATTTTTTTTTTAACTATTTCTGTTGCATTTTACCATATCAGCAAAGTTGCAAGCAATGCAATTTGGTTTTCTTACAAATTCCTCAAAGAGGTTGTATCTGTATTTGTCTATCTGCAAATGCATCCATGTCGGGTATATGTTGATTTTCGCATACAATTGATTGAAATAGAATATATACGTATAGTACTATATATTTCTTATTTAGCCTTAACAAATGTTGACAAACTCAAAAGATTCTTAGATTTTTTATACGAATATTTATTCGAATTTTATTTTCTCTGCCATTGAGCTTGTGTAAACTTTGCTTGGTAAACATTTTCTAAAGTCGCACGAGTATTCTATTTAATAGATATATATTTTATGAAATATTTTTTATGAAATTCAATTACAATAGTTTACTCAGTTGTACATAAATGTACATGTGCGTTTTGTTAATATTTGCATGAATTAATAAAACATTGAAAACGTTTGCCAATTTCGGTTTCGTAAGGATTGCTGGATTGCTGTTTTTCTTATACCTTTGGGTTTGTTGAATTATAAATTTCCTGTTAAATATTCAGTGTTTGAATTATAAAATAAAATGCAATCCTCAATTTAAACTATTTTCAGTTAGCATTGCTTAAAAATTTATTGTTTACCATATCTATTGTTCCTTTGTCTGGCTTCCTTTTCATGAATATTCTTTGCAATAATGTTGAAAATTTTAAAGGCTATTCTGCTTGACTGTCCTTGTGTTTTTATTGTGGAAAAAGAATTACAATTTTAGCTTGAAATAAATCTCTTGTTTTCTCATCAATGAACGCATTTTATATAAATTTTAGAATTTTACACAAATAATTTACATGTTTAATAAAAAATAATTTTTTATTGAAATATTTATTCTGAAAAGAACATTTGAATAAATTAATAGTACCGGTTAGCGATTTGTATATCAGCGTGAGGTCATAATGTGTAAAGCACTATAAAGGACAGTACTTTGTTATATGAAACCGATGCTTCACAGGGAGGAAATTTTAATTGTTTTAGGAAGAAATTTGAAATTTAGTGTTTTATTTCAAATTTATTTCATTTCATTTTAAATTTATTTTGTTTCTAATTTATTTTATTTCAAACTTATGTTATTTCAAATCTATTTGGTTTCAAATTTATTTTATTTCATATTCATTTTATTTTATATATATTTTATTTTAATTTATTGTATTTAATTTTTTTTGTTCCTTTAATTTTTTTATTTAAAGCTTTTCATAGACATAATTCAGCACTCCTTAATTCTTAAAAGAATTTCTAAAGTCTTCTTAAAACATTTCTTTCTTCTCGTTATATTTTTTTTCTTTCTTACACTTTTTCTTTTTCTCCTGCTTGATACATTTTTATTTGCTGTGTTTGTAGCCATGGTTTCATTAATAGATATCAGAAAGCTTTCGAAGGGTCATAATATAAAGATTTGGAGAACACTGATATATGGGCTTTCTTAAGTTATTTTGCTTTATAACTCTTCTTAATATATTTCTTGCTCTTTTAAATACATTTCTTCATCTTTTTAATGTATTTCTTCTACTTCTTTATACATTTCTTCTACTTCTTTATATATTTCTTCTACTTCTTTATACATTTCTTCTACTTCTTTATACATTTTTTCTACTTCTTTATATATTTCTTCTACTTCTTTATACATTTCTTCTACATCTTTAAACATTTCTTCTACTTCTTTATACATTTCTTCTACTTCTTTATACATTTCTTCTACTTCTTTATACATTTCTTCTACTTCTTTATGCATTTCTTCTATTTCTTTTTACATTTCTTCTACTTCTTTATACATTTCTTCTTCTTCTCTATACATTTCTTTCTCTTCTGAAAACATTTCTTTCTCTACTTAATACATTTTGTCTATTTCCTCATACATTCCTTCTTTTCTTTGACATTTTTTCTACTTTATACATTTTTTCCTCTTCTACTTATACATTTTTTTTTTTGATCTTCCTAATCTAAAAACATTTCTTCCTCTACTTAATACATTTCTTCTATTTCTTCATACATTTCTTTCTTTTTTTAATAGACTTTTTTCTATTCTTAATACATTTCCTCTTAAGATATTTCTGTCTACTATGTTCATTACCAAGGTTTCGCTAGAAGACGCTAGAAAAATTTTGAGATGCCATAGTAAAAAGTGTTGGAAAACACTCTTTACTTCAGTTATTTCAAGATAAAATATATACATATATCTATTTTAATAATAAATCTTTAATATAAATATATTCTCTTTGATTTTCACTAATAATAATAAGTTTCACTAATAGACGTAAGAGAAAAGCTTTGATGGGTCATTGTAACAAAAATTGACGAACACTGATATAGATGTTTCTTAAGTTATTTTTATTTAAAATTTGTCTTAATACTTTTCTATTTGCTCTTTTTTTTATAGAAACTAATTGATTATATTAATTATGAAATCAAAAATTACCTCATCCTACATTGAATTTATTTTAAGCTGCAATCTTTGTATAAATCTATTAGATCATATTTAAGTTTTTACTTCATGCTTTGAGCACATAATACAGTTTAAATAAATCAGAAAATTTGATTAAATTATTTTATTTTTAGAACCGATAAGATGTTTTTGTTTTAATTTCTATAAAGTATATCATCAAAATTAGTCACCATAAATTCTTGAATTTTAGCGTATATACTATCGTAAACTTTAAGTTCATAAATTGCTTCCTTTTTTCCAAGCTTAAACTTAAATATGCGATTATCGTCAATAAAGTTTAGACAAACTTTACGACACATTAAAGTGCAGTTTTCTGTATTTTAGTTATCCATAAGCCATCTAACCGAGTTTTCCCTAACAGTTTATATCGTTTCCTTATTTATTTATATGCAATCTGTATTTCCCCATCGGAGGTTAATATGCACTTGCACTATTATATATATACGACGTTTGTTTTATATATATGATACACTTTATGTTAGAGTTTCAATAAATCATCATCATTTGGAATTATAGCTTACAGGGATCTATACTAATCTATTTGGTTCTATCGCTCATCCTCTTTTTTAAACCCCCATCTCCTCTCCTCTAAATCTACGTCGATGTCTTTATGTCGTTTTAATCTTAGTTTCATTTCCTCAAAACCTGTTTAGACATTATGCCTGCTTTTAATCGTGGTCTTTCAACTATTTTTGTTTGCTATGATTTTTAAATGGTTTCTATGTTCAACAGATCATGATTTTTGTTCAACAGATTATTATTATAGTTATTCGGTTTTTTATATTCCATATGTATATTGCTTGAAGCAATCTGCTTGATATTGCTTGATTTTGCAATGCTTCTTACATTTTAGTGGCGTATGAAATTACAAACATTAATTAGCAGACTACATGAAAATAAAAAATATCTCTGAGATATTTATATTTAATTAATTTCTTGTATTTTATTAAGATGATATAGATTTTGTATAAGTGATTGGAGCGCGTTCTATAGAAAGTTCGAGTGCTTCTTATAGTTTTTCTGTTTAAACTATTGTTAAAAGATTGTTAAATATGTGGACTCTGGTAAGATGTGGTTATATCGGTTCTGTAATATATTTTATTTTGCAAAGCGTAAACAGTTTTTTAACCCATATCTATGTTCGTTATGTTTCCAAATAATCGATTTCTTAATCATATCAGAATTAAAAGTATATGAATATATTCACATTTTATGTTATATTGATAAAATGTAGCCATTATTCTGCTAAAAAGGGGTAGATATACTACAAAATATTTTTTGCAGTGTTTTTGTAGCACATTATGTGTAGATTATATGTCATGAGGAAAACCTATGTTCTAATCTCTCCCTGTAATGAATATATTTTTTATGTTACACAGATGAAACGTAGCCATGTTTGTACCTAATAAGAGTAGACACACTACAAAATATTTTTTGCTGTATTTTTGCAGTGCATTTTAAAAAAATTACATTTCATGAGGAGAACCTATTCACTTATCCCTTCCTGAACATGTTACTGATAGTAGGAAGAATTTTCTTTAGATAACACATTTTGTTTGGAGTCATAATTGCTTAAAAATTTCGTTTTTCTTTTTTGAATAATTTTTTATTTAATTATTTTTTATTTAATTTTTTTTTTAATTACTTTTTACTTTTTATTTATTGACTTGATTTTTGTTCTCTGCATTGTTGCAAATATTTGCTAAAGCACACATCAAATGAATGACACCAAAATGTCTACTTCATATATAACATTTCCGGTTACTAATTCTAAAAGAAAATGGCTTCCAGTTTGAATAATTCTAAAAATCTTTTACAGCACTTAATTTTAATTAAATAATGATGATGTCATTTTTAAAATTATCAATATTAAATTCAATGTAAGTTTAGTAACACAAACAAAAAAAATATAAAACAGACTTCTTTATCATATTCGATTTTAAATTAAATTTATAATTTTTTATTGTGCTTAACTGGCTTAATAAGGGTAACATTTTGATAAGTACTACAATCGCAGAAGTAGAAAGAGTGACTGTATGACTGACTATTTATCGATGTGCTGAAAATGAAATTCACAAATGAAAATAGGACTAATCAATGCTAAAGCGACAGGTGACCAAGGTCAATACTAGGGAGCCCCATTACCAAATATCTATAAAATCGTACAAATACAGATATGTAGGCAAGATTAATCACTATTTCGAAATGACAACATTCCGCTCCACTTTTCATATCAAAAACACACAAAGCCATAGTCAAACACATACCTATTTGCGTATCTATGTTATTTTACGAATACTTCACACACAAATACCAACTTCTATCGTTACGGGCACATCGTAAAAGTTTGTTTACTTTGCGTCATTTACTGTTTTCATTATTAATAAAAAATGAAATAACAAAAACTGTTATCAGTGACCGTTCCGATAATATGTAACCATTCGGTATGTGCACTAGCCAGGGTACTAGCCAAAGTTGTACCCTTTGCGCCACAATCGGTACCCTAAAACTTTTCGAATGTATCTATCCGATGAAGTGTGTTCATTGTTTAAATTTTCGGTTTTGTTTTGCTTTCGTTAGTTTTGTCTTCTGTCTTCTGTTTTCTTGTTTCTGATTTTTGTTTTTCACTTCTCTGTTCCTACAATATTCATTTTCAAAGATTTTCTGCATGAAGTTGAGATACTCGCAGAAGAATAGCAGGCTAAACAAGGTATCAGCGTATTCGCTTGCTTTTTCAGTTTTTCTTATCTGTGGAATTTTTTCAGGTTGATATCAAAATAAACGTTAACTTTGTTTTCAACTCATTATGTTCGTAATAGAGAAAGCACAAATCCATGGTCAATGGAATACGAAGGTGTACTCCCATTGTGTTCCATATCTTCCGTGAGTTTCTTGTGTTGTGTATTCATAAGCTACGATATTCTGTTCCTGTCTTCTGCCATTAGGTTTGCGTGAATTGTTTTTAATTTCAACTCTACAATAAATTTTCACTTCTTACCTTCTTATCATTACACTATTTCATTTATTTTTGCTTATTTTTAATTTTAAGTTTCATTAATTCTTTTCAATTTTGTTGAAAATATCTAAAAAGTGTTATAGAAAAAACTTACTCGTGTTTTTAATAAAACTTTCTTCATTAATTTATGCCGTCGTACTTCTTCTACTTCTTCTACTTCTCCAGAATTCACCGGTTTCTGTTGCAATTTGTCAAATTTAAAAAACAAAATAAGCAACAAAATAAAAATAACACAGAAAAGGAAAACAAAAACAAAAACAAATATTTATATAAATTTTGGATTTACTTTCATTTTGCAGTGTAATTAATCATTTTCCTTCTCAGTTCTAAAATTACTTCTTCCTTTCATCCGTTTTTTTCCTCGATTTTTTTCTGTTTTGGGGGCAGGTTTAATTTACTTTAAAGGTCGGTTTTGCCTGAAAGTGTAGTGCACAAATGTTAAAGTACTTTATTATTGTAGGTTGATATGATTTCTCTACTCTCTTTCAGGATAATTTAATTTTCCGGTGTTTTTTTGTAAGCATAAAATGATGTCCTTTCTGGTTTGATTTTCACTTTTTTCCAATTTAAATTATCATTTTTTTAACATTGACTTCAACTTTGACTGATTGAGGATGTTCATTTGATTTGATTTGCTTGCTTTGTTTTATTTTATTTTATTTTATTTTTTATGGTTTATTAAAAAACTCTTTGGTTTGCTCATTGACTGGAAATTTCTTTAAATTACTTCACAGGACTGAAAAATATTTATGGTATAATAATGCCAGTAAAAAATAAAGAATCAGTAGTGCGAAGGATGGATAAGAAGGTGTTAAAAATGAATTCACATTATAAAGGCAGAAGACTTAGTAAGATTACTTAAAATATTAGAGAGATTTTCAAGCAGATTTGAATTGTAACAACAAAAATTTTTATTTATATTTAATTAATTCAATTTTTAGCCTACCATACAGTTGTTTCGAGTATTGCCAAATACCCATCATAATTATAAATAAATAAATAAAAAATTTTGTTGTTGTAATTCACTACTGTTCAAAACCTCTTTGTTATAAACAATAATTTCTATTAAGTGAAATAAGCACTACAGTCAAAAATGACGTTAAAATCAAATTTTATTTAAAAGATTAAAGTAATATTGTTAAACATAGAGAAGAAACTAACTTGTATTTATCGATGCGTCCAATGGAAATAATGTGGAAATAAAACGGTTTTTTTTTCAGTTGATTGAGAAGGATTTGATCCTTCCTGCATGTCACATTTTTAAATATGGACATTGACAACTCTTTCATCCATTGACTTAAATTCTTCTAAACAGAGATAAAGAATTGATGGGATCACTATTTTACTAAATTGCTTAGACGCTCTACTCTTGGTGTACTTGATAATGATATCAATATAAATATCTATATAATATCAGAGTTTCTGACCTTATTAGAAAGTTTGACAATAAAAAAAACTTGTTATTTATAGGGGTTTAGCGATCAAGATTAACAGTTTATGTCACAACTTCATCAGTTTACATAAAAGTATAAACTTAGTGACTTATTGTAGATGCAATAGTCTTTCGAGAATTATTTGTAGATTTTCACTGCTTTAGGTGTGACAACTATGTTTTTTGAAGTATTCATCAAACAAAATATGAGATGCATCACTGAAGAAAATGCGAAATTACTATTTCTGTTGTTAATTTTAATAATCTGGGCATATTACTGATTGTTAAACGATCTATATTGTTATATGGAGCTCTTAAACTAACATTTGATGTGTTAGATTATAGGTCTATTTGACAGATGTCCTCGAAATAACGAAATGCAAGAAAATTTTTTTTTTTGATTAATTAAATTCTTTGAGTAAGAACCATACAGTTCTTTCAAATGTCTTCAGGAGTTTTCGAATATATTTTTTTGTTTTAATTATATTTAATTTTATTTTATTTACATAATATTTTATTTATTGTTATTACAATCAGCTTAAGTTACAGTCATATCGTCAGTTTTGTCATACAAATAATTGCACTTACTCATTGTTTTATAGAATTACGAAGTCATCATTATCATAATTCTGTTTTATAAATTCATTAATTAACTTTGACTTTTAATTATGGACTAAGTATCAATTAATTAAGAGAAATCATATGTCAATTTATGTAATTTAAATAGTAAAATCAAAAAATTGTTCTGTGCTTTCGATGAGGTCAATAAATCCATAAAATTGGTTAACTTTTGTGATGGCAGAAATCCAAGTGAAAGCATATTGTATACAAAAATTATTAAAAAAATTTTATATTTACTGCATATAAATTCTTGCATAGATAAGTAGTCGCTCTATTCTTTTCAATTATATTATTTATATTAAAAATTCAAAATTATTTGTTATATGAAATTTGCTGCAAATATTTTTTGAGTAATATAAGTATATTCTTTTGCAACTTTATTACCGACATGTCAAAAAAATTTCTCTCTTCACTGTCAAATACTAAATATGCATGCATAATTTAGTCTCAAACTTTGTTATTCTAGTAGCTTCTCATTGAAGAAAGAAGAAGGATGTACTTGAATTTTGCGAAGCACACTGCTGCAGCAAAGTAAATTTTCTGTAAAATCTCATAATTTGGCATAATATAGACGACTCGACCCCATTTGTAGTTTGTACACAAACAAGGACGACATTTTCGTTAACGTTGACTGCATAATAAAGACGTTAGAACAACAAGAATAGTCAGTATATGTATAGGGTATATGGTGGAATATGGAAAATTCGTAAAGTAAATGCCCAACAATATTCAACTAGGTGGAAAGCATAGCAAAAGTCTGCACGAAACTGTATGGCACATTGCTCCGGGCTTACGAACTAAACTCTCCTCACTTCGTTATTGATGAGCTTAAGATTTGATGCAAAGAATAATGTAAATTACCAATAACCAAAATGTCTGGAATGCTTATAATGCAACATATACGAGTAAAATCTGAATAATTCAATTGGGATATGATGTTGAGATATGATTTTGTCAGAATACATTGACCTAGAGGAGCTTATTATGAATGCAACGTTTCAATCGAAAATCTACCTTTTATTCGATTCAGTTTATTTATTTAAATTTGAAAAAATTATAAGTATAAGTAAAGTAGTAACGAATAATGCAGTATAATGTATAAAAAAATGGAAAGGTTTTCGATTTTTATAATTTCATTCTTTTATTCCTTTTGTAATGTACTCCATGGAAAACTTTAAGACAGATAGAAAGAGAGATAGATGAAAGAGTTAATAAAAATGTGCAATATGTATATTTTTTGTATATTTTTTATTTTGCATATCAATCTGCGTTTTGAATTTTATTTACAATTTTTGGAAAATTGTATAAAAAGGGAATAAACTATATACTACATACCTATATTCATGAATTAGAAATAAATAAAACGTACTTGATTTTTTTGTATAGTTTTTATAAGATTTAAGATTTTATTTCATTTCACAATTGATACTTCATTTAGAAATGTTTGCTTAATTTACATATATATTTTATATTTGAAAAAATATTAATTAAATAAATGAAATGTATTTATTATAATTAAGTTCTTATATGAATTTATAAACAATATAACTAATAATAATAATAACTAAATTAAAACTAATATTCTCTATAGTACTAATAGAGAATATATCCCATCGCTCAATAAAAATCGATTTCACAGTCATTGCTAAAGTCTTACATCTGACTTAAATATTAAATATTCAGATAAGTTGGTATTCAGATTTAAGATAAGAGTGTGAAATTGCCTATAAGTTTCCGATCTGACACATATATGGCAATATTATGCACAAATTCATAATAAATCCATCATCTATCAAGCCATACGTGACACAATTTCATATAGGGAGAAAAATTTGAAGAAAAGTTTAAAAGTGTTGATATGAATTGATCACCATTATTATTATATTCTAAAACTGAGCTCTATTCTAAAAACGAAGATAGATTGTTCTACAATATAAGCATAGAAAAGTTAGAAAAGTCACCGAAACTGAAGTCTATTCCAAGAGCATAGATAGATCATTCTACAACCATGGCATTGAAAAGTAAGAGAAGTATTGGAATGAATATATCAGCATTTTTTAATGGATTACAACCTACAACCGAAGTCTATTTTAAGAGTAAAGATAGATCATTTTACAACTATGCTATCGAAAAGTTAGAAAAGTGTGATTGTAACTCTTTTGAAGTAGAGTATATTGACCAATAAAGTCGGGTTCCTAAAAAAAATTGTTTTTCTTAGCTAGATAGGAGACTTATTGAATGGTCTATACGAGTATAGTGTTTTTCTTAAACTATAGAATTGACCCTCTCTAAACATTAAATTAGATACTTCTATAAAATAGGTTCCAAGTTGGAGAAGCTTTTATGTATTTTTTACATGCATAAGCTAAATATAGCTTTAATTAAATTCTATTAGAAAATTTACTAAATTTATTACATGTAACAATAGCCTTAAAAATATTTTTAAATATTTTATTTGAAAAGTAAAGTCAGCTTATTTTTTTCAATTTTTAGTTTTGCGCTTTTAAATTAAACTTTAAATTATCTATGAACAAATTGCCCCTACAGCAAGTTCCGCTGTTTTTTGTTATTTAATTTTTGTACTCAATCCGATTAATTTTCAATAAATAAATTTTACAAAGAATCCTTTTTGATTGAAATTACGGGTTTATTGCTCCCTGAATGCAATAAAAACATTTTGCAGGCTCTGGCTCTGGGTGTGGGTCGTGCCTGCAGCGGGCCCTGCCGTTGTATTTGGTTTCATGAGTTTTACAGAAATGCACAATATAATAAAAGCATGAAGTTAGATAGTATTTGCAACGATAAATGCGATTTTTTATAATTTTTATTTTTATAGAAAATAAAAGAAGCAGAAGCAGAAGCAGAAAAAAGCAAAGCGTATTTTTTTCTGTGAAGCAATAAATATGCTATGAAAATTTTTACAAAATTGCTGTCGCAAAACGAATTTTTCTTATTAAGAATTTTTAAAATATAACGAAAAGTGAAATAAAAATGTTTAATATAAAATTAAAAATAAAAGAAGGTGACAACACCTTTCCTCGTTCCGGACGTTCGAACTCACATTTCAGTTCGAGCGGGCGCAGCAGTCCGGCGAACATGAGTCTACGCAGTTCGCTTGCATCCTCAAATCGTAGTCCAAGCAATTCCCTAAGGCGGAAAGACAAACGTGTGCGTATCGTGACAACATATACCGGTGACATTGAACGAGACAGAGAATATGGTAAGTTGACTAGGGCGCCTGCAAATGAAAGACGGTGCAGTGCAGTGTAAGTGCGAAGGTGGAAGTAGTTCTGAATTTACTGTCATAAATAAAATTAAGTAAACTATTCACATACACTTGAAAAAACATTAAACGACAAAGGAGTACATATAGTACGTTATTAAAGTACTCAAGTACTCAAGTACACATGTATAAGTAAATATGAACTTATTTACCAACTACGAATTGTACGGATTCTACGAGTTCTACGAGTAAACGTCGTAGAATTCGTCCTAGTGGTCTCATTTTTTATGCCCGAAACAGCTTTTAGTTGGTAATTGCAAATCGTGACTTGCATTCAAAATTTTGACTTTACGTAAATTTTGGTTAAACACAATTTACAAAGTTCGGGAAAGCATCTTGGCTTGGCACAAATGTAACATACACACGAACTTTTTACACAAATATTTGTGAACGTAGACAAATTCGTTTATCACAGCCATATAAATTCTAACATTATTTGTTCTCATTGTTGTTGTTGTTGTTGTTGCTCTTTTTATGTTATCATAGATGCGCCTGATGGTGTAACGGAGCTACGTCTGGAGCAGTTTGAAATTCATATTGAGCGCACATCTGCTGGCCTTGGCTTGAGTATTGCTGGTGGCAAAGGTTCGACTCCGTTTAAAGGTGATGACGAAGGCATTTTTATATCACGTGTAACTGAAGGAGGCCCTGCGGATTTGGCTGGCTTGAAAGTGGGGGATAAAGTACTAAAAGTCAATGGCATATCTGTTGTCGATGCGGATCATTATCAGGCTGTTCAAGTGCTTAAGGCATGCGGTGCGGTTTTGGTGCTAGTGGTACAACGTGAAGTGACAAGGTTAATAGGTCACCCCGTATTCAGTGAAGATGGTTCACTTTCACAGGTGAGTTAAAGAAAAATTTATCACTTTTACTTGTTTTTTTGTTTTTTTTTTGTTTTTTATCTCCTTTACATAAATTATGATTTTAATTTCCAAAGTGTTTAGTTAAGTTTTGTATTTGTATTTATGATTAGGTGTTATATATTTTTTTTTATTAAGTTTTATTTAAGAATAATATATACTAAATGATTTAGAGTTAAAATTACAAAAGGTGCTTGGTTATTGAACTCTATTTTTTTATTAGGATTTTAGAAATCGTATTAAAATTTCATATTAAGCGTTTCAAAACTATAATAAATAATAAAATTTTGTTCGCTTATTCGCTGAATTAAACTAATAAATGATATGTAGTTAGAGTTCTGTTATGTTCCACAACTTTTCTGCACAATATCTATAAAAATATGCAGATAATCTTAGTTTCTAGAGGTTTTATTTCACCAAAATTTACTTCCGATATGTATTATGCGTGGCCCTGTAGCAAAACAGGTTGAGGAGAGAAAGGAACAATTTTTGTAATCGTAAAATCATTTCTAACCGTTTACAATAAATGGTTATTATTATTTCCATATTTTATCATAGTATCTTAAGAAATCTACAAAAATTTCTAACTCAAACTATTGTGTGCTACTAGAATCAGTTCGTTAAACAATTTCACAGTTTTAGTATAAATTGTTTTTCTCCATATTTGTTGAAGACTTCAATTACAATAAATATTATTTTAAATTTTCGCTTTAAATATACTGAGGAGCAAAAAAAAAGGTTTATTAGAATGAAATAATAAATGATATTCTGCTCAATATCCATTATTTCAAAGGTTTTCTTTTTATTATAATATAATACTAGGAATTCGCTTTTACGAGGGACCATTATTTCCTATTTCTTGAGACTTACTTTTAGAGGTAATGATGCGCATATTCATATGCAGTCCTTGGTTATACTCATTGCACTTTAATTTTTATATAAAAATTATAAACACAAGTAGAGAAATATTCTCAGTATTTGCTTTCGAACAAATAGTTTTGACTGAGCCGTTACTATATTTAAAATTTTTTTCAAATGCATCGTTTTGTAAATGCTTAGAAGTTACAGAAACTGAAAATATAGTTTCTAATGCAAATTCAAATATAGTTTACATCAATTAAGAGAAATTTAATTAAAATTATTTCCATCATTCACAGATATCTGTGGAAACACGTCCATTGACAGCACAATTGCAACAGCAAATACCAGCATTAATACAGGAACAACATACACAGCATGAGAAATTTATACCACCGCCAATTCAAATCCTACCAGAACATCAGCAGCAACAGCAACAGCAGCAGCAGCAACAACAACAACAAATGCAAAATCCTGCAAATTTGCACAATTATCACGCAAATGTATTTACCACACCATCAGTCGCCGCAGTGCCAACAACACCAACAACTTATCTCCAACAACAGCAGCAACAACCGCAACATGTTGGCAACATAACAACAAATGGTATTTTGGAAAATGGAAAGGTTTGTGAAAATGCATTCGTATTTTTATTTTTACTTAATATTATTAACGCTAGTAAAGCTCAAATCTTATAAAAATAGAAATAAAATTTAATTTGCTTTTAAAATACTTTTAAAAAAATATGTATTTTATTTAAAATGTTTTCAATACATTTAATTTTACACAGGATATTCCTTTAAGTTACATTCAACTGCACACAACTCTGATACGCGATCAAATCGGTCAGGGGTTGGGTTTCAGCATTGCTGGTGGTAAAGGTTCGCCGCCGTTTAAGGATGGTAGTGATGGTATTTTCATTTCTCGTATAACTGAAGGTGGCTTAGCTTATCGCGATGGTAAAATAATGGTCGGTGACCGTGTAATGGCTGTAAGTATACAAGTCTATCTATATACACATATATATATAGATATGTATATACATTATAAAAGTTGTTTTTTTTATGTTATTGTATTCATCGGTGCAGCTTTATGCTGCCATCCTTTAAAGTGTTTTATTTTGTTTTTTGTTAAACGTATTTTCTCATTCATTTGCAGATTAATGGAATTGACATGACAAATGCATATCATGATGCAGCTGTGCAATGTCTAACTGAACCACAGCGATTTGTGCGCTTGGTGTTGCAACGCGAATACCGAGGTTCTTTCGAACCACCACACAGTCCGCGCAGTCCAGCAGTATTAAATTCATTAAGCCCATCAGGATATCTCGCAAACAGACCAGGTAAAATACACAGTGTATATTGGCTGGCATATATTAAAGAATTTTAAATATTCTAGCTAACTTTAAGCGTTCCACTGGTGATATGGTTTTGGAACAAAAACAACAAATACATCAGGAACCACAGCTACAACAGCTACAACAGCAACAACAACAATATAAATACATTACACAACCCATCGCATATGATACAAACAAAAATATATCGACTACAACTACTACAACAACAATGGCTCCGATATCAGGAGGTAACAACATTGTTGGCGTTGTTCCAGCTACTAAAACGAATGGTTTTGCTACAACAACTACAACAAGTGGAAGTGCATATCAACAACCTCAAATGCAACAGCAACAGCAACAGCAGCAGCAACAGCAACATCAGCAAAATCAGCAACATTACCAACAACAGCAGCAGCAGCAGCAACCAATCGATAAAATGACAGGGCAGCCAATTCCAGCACCTAGACGCACTAATTCTGTGCCATCAGGTGATGGTGTTGCTGAATCCACTTCAGCGCAAACAAATAGTAATTCACCAACATCAAATGTGCCATCTCAACCGCCGGAATCCTCAGAGGCTCAGGTAAAATTTCATGTTTATTGTATTGTATAATTATCTATGAGTTTCGTTTCGTTTTCGTTACTGCACGCATATAAGAAAGAATTCTGTCAAGAATTTGAACTCAAAAATTTTTCGAAAACATTTTGTTTATTGTTTATTGTCGTTTGTTTAGTTTTTAGTTTTTGTATTGTTGTTGTTGATTTTATTCATGAAATACATGGGCTCGAAATACTGTTTGTTTTAACGTGTGCCATAACAAATAAAATTGAGTAACATTTCTATTCGAAACTGTGCCATACTTAAAACAATAATCTTCATTAGAGCACTTAGTTTGTATTATTTTCTAATATTTAAGCTTAACAAACATAGTTTGCCACAAATTTTAATTATTATTTTCCAATAGCCAAAATAAAAGGTAAGTAATTTTATTTTTAACATTTCATTATTATTATTAGTATTTTAATTAAAAACAGTAATTTTATTTAAAATTTAATGATTTTTAAAAAGAATTTTAAGTTAAATATTTTATCAATTATATTATTTAATACATTTCAAAGCTTTCATTTAAGAACTATTTTGTTTAATATGTTTTTTGGTTTTTTTAAAATATTTTTTTTTGGTTTTTTTAAAATATTTTTTTTGTTTGTATATAAGTATATATATGTATAATATATCCTCACCATAGTGTGGTGAAAAACACCAAGCATTTGAGCTTTGAAATTTTTTAAGATTTGCACAGAATAGCAAAAAAAATTTTTTTTAATATAACTATTATAAATGTATTTAATTTTTTTTTTTACTGCCGGTTAAAACTTTTGATTAATTTAGAATTTGTTTAATTAATAATATAAATAAGAAATTCTATGCATAAAAACAACAAAAAATTTTACTTAATATTTATTATTTAATTTATATTACTTAATTTTTATTATTTTTTAATTTATATTATAATAAGCTACAATTTATAAAATTATACACATATTACTATTTAATTTTCATTATTATTTTTAATTTATTATTATTTTAATTTTTTAATTTATTATTATTTTTAATTTATTATTAATTTTAATTTATTATTACTCTTAATTTACTATTATTTATCATATATTATTATTTTTAATTTATTATTTAGTTTAAAAATCAATAAATATTTTAAATAATACAAAATAATAAATATATACTTGATATACATATATCATTTACTATTTATTGTTTTGTAATTAAAAAAAACTTTTAATTCAAAATTAAAGTTTAAATTTAAAATTTGAAATTAAAAATAATTTTAATTTTTAATATTTATTTTTTAATTTTTATTTAATATTTGTTTAATTTGTATTATTATAAAATTCTTATTTTTTAATATTATATAATTTCATATTACTATTTAATTTTTATTATTAATTAAGTTTATTATTATAATTTTTACTTACGTCTTTTATTTGTAAATGCAGAAATATTTTAATTAAATATAGTCAAATAATATTATTATTTAATTTTTATATGCAATTTACAAAATAGTTATACAATTTTGTTAATTCGAAAATAAAATTTAAAATTAAAATAACGTACAAAATGTTAATATTATTTAGTTTGTGCTATTTCATTACTTTTTTTTTTTGAAATTAAAAAATTAATTTTGTATGAAAAATTTAATGCTTTATAAAAATTTAATGTTTTACAAAATTTAAGCTTTATATATATACACAAAAAATTATTATTTAATTTTTATTAATATAGATTTAATATAATCAGTATATATTTATTTTATTGTCATTTAATTTTCGTTATTTTAAAACTGAACGGTGTGTATATACATATATAAGGTAAGTTTCAAATATTTATTTGTGGCAAATTATGTATTTTTTCATTGTCAGAATTATATTTTAAGATTAATATATTAAAAAAAAAACATTTATATTCTATATAATAAAGCTTTTAAATAATTTATGTAACCTCTTATAATTGTTGATGATATTTTTGTTGCGGTTTAACAACATTTTGATTTTTGTGTAAGTCGTGCTAATTTATTTAAAAAAAAAAAATTCAAAAATAAAATTAAAAATAATAATTTTTTGATATGACATTTGTGTGTTTTGCATGCGTGAAGCATTACTAAATTTTTAAAATTTAGTTTCTTTTTGTTGTACTTCATATTTCAAAAATTTATTTAAGTATATAAAGTAATTAATCCATTTTATATAAAATATATACTAAACGGATTAAAAGTTATTGCTTTTTTTATTGAACTTATATATTTGGCTTATAGTATAATTTAAGACTATATAAAATAAAATTTACAATATATTTAGTAAAAATAAGAAATAAAGCTATAAGTTAATATTTAGTATGTTTATTAATTTTTTTAGATTTAAAATTATTTTTTGTTTTTTTACTACTAAAACATCGTACCTAAAAAGTATTTTCTCTTTTTTTCTTTTTTAAAACAAATGATAATTTCAAAATAATAAACAAACAAACAAAAAAAAAATTAAAATAATTAAACAAAATGTGGCCAAAATTAACAACTGAAACTTCCAAAAATTTATTACAACCCGATTCCTAATTAATTGGATCAACACTTATACAATCATTAGCCACCTCCACTTCGACCATTGACGAGCGAAGATTTCCAAGCAATGATACCAGCACATTTCCTTAGCGGTGGCAGCCAGCATCAAGTGCATGTAGCGCGTCCAAATGAAGTCGGTGTTGGTCCATCCGTCACTGTGACGGTTAATAAGGCTGTACCCGATTTACCTATGTTCCCAGCTGCTCCCACCGAATTGGGTCGCGTAACTGAAACCATTACCAAATCAACCTTCACAGAAACAGTGATGACACGCATTACCGACAACAATTTAGCGGAACCACTAATAAGTGAGGTGACTATCACATCAGCACAAGAATACAAATAAAAGAACGTTAACATATGCTTGATTTGTTAAATAATTTCTTTCCTTTTTAAGTATTTTTTTGCCAGTAAAAGGTTTTTGTTATTTATTTTTTCAAAATTGTTCATTTATTGGCCCTCATCTTTCATTTTACTGCACTTGTCACATTATTAAAATTTTAAATCAAACTCTTTTTTTATCATATCTAATAGTTTATATTTATAATGTAAATAAATTTTAATTTTAAAATTTAATTTGTAGCCTAATAGAGAACTTCACAAAATCGTATCTGACACAAGCAAGCTTCTTGTAATTCAATTTTATTTCTACAACTTCACATATATTTTTAAGGAAATCTATTAATTGGTTTTGGATTCAAATCTATGCTAAATTTTTTAGTAATTACTTTTCAGTAAGAAATAAAATCAACTTTACATTGAAACCTGAAGATTTTATTTCTTTAGTCAGGAAGTTGAATAATATTTTAAAATAATCGGTAATCAAAAATCGGACTTAACAAAAACATTGAAGAGGTTTGTTAATACCACATTGTGAGAAATAACGAAGATACATGAAGGGGTGTGAATAATAATATTAATTTTTCATTTTCAATAAATTAAAAAATTAATTTAAAAATGTTATTAATAAAATTATTAAAAATAATAGTTCATAATAATAAATAACGTATCTCGAAGTTGATCCATTTTAAGACTAATAATCATTCCGCTGAAATTAAACATATTAAAATTTTAATAATATTAACTTTTTAATTTGTTAACATTCATTAATATAAAGTTAATTATTTTATATGAAGAGCTAATACATTTTAGTTATAGCCACTAACTGGTCATCATATTAAAAATAAATTCCTAAGAATATATGAAATTTTTATAAATAAATGATACCTGATAACAATAGAATTGCTTCATTTCTTAATATTGTTTTTTGTATCTTTTTTCATGACTTCGTGATTTTAATTGAAAAATGTTGAGGTAGAGGAAATGTGCTGATAAGATAGATATATTATTTTCACATGTATTTATAATTAGTATAAAATTGAGTTGCTCTAATGCAACATAAATACTATTTAATATTAGATAAAATAATTTATTAAACATTTGAGATTAAATTTAAATAGAAGATTAATAATTAATTTTTGACATTAAAGTAAAGTTATAAGTCAGAATACATATACGAATATATATTAAATTTATACAAAGTGGTTTTGACTTTAATATTATAAATTCTGGAAATGCTTCTTTGGTTATAGAACACATAAAAGTGGAGACGACAAATTTTTAATAGCTACTGACTATAGGGTAATTCGCAAATTGTACTCAGAAATCAAAAAATCATTTCCTAAATTTTCAATCATTTTGAGTCGGAAACCCCTGTATAAATTATAGACGTAATAATATTTTGTATAAGAATTAAATATTAAACTATATATCAAATACCAGAGTATAACTATAGACAAATTGAACGAAACAGTCATTACATCAATATTCAGCAATTGCCGATCAAATCACATTTTAGGTACGGTTTCAGTTCATCGGCTGAACAAAGTTATCGCAGTTCTATTATCGTATCATTCATTGATGTTGCTAACGCATGCCAATTCCTGTTCTATATAAGAAAAAATATATGTATTTTAAAAAGGACTGCCATATTAAACTGAAAATAAATCTTATAATAAAACTGCTTAAACTACGAGTCTGATATTCTTCAGCCAGTTATAAATTAAGCTACCCTGCAGAAATTTGAGATCCAGAAAGATTTCATTGGGATCATATATAAAGATAATACCTAAATTATTGTTACATTTTTATTTTATATCGTTATTATTATACTCTTACCGTTTTAGTTTTGATAGCATATTTATAACTAAAAAATGCTTATGAGTTTCTATTTTAATTAATATAAATAACATTAATAAATATATATTATATAATTTGTATAATATATTTATTAATGTTAAATTATATATAATAATATATAATAACATATAATAATATATTATATATATGAGATTAGTTAATGATTATTTAAATGATTTGCCTCTGTTAACTATAATGTGTTTAATATGAGACTAAAGTATAGTGTAGTTATTTGAAGAATAAAGATATTTTGCGAACTAAAAAAGATAGTAAACTTCAACTAATGGACCCTCTGCGGATCATCAACAGATTTTAGTCTATTCAAGTATCATTTCTTCAGTTATATCATACTGAATTCTCATAGTTCGACGAGATTCGATGCGCTATTGTTTATCGTTTCATTTAATGATTGGTTCCTATTGTCTTTGAAACCGCATATTAGATACAATATTTGTAAATCACAATCTATCACATTGTACTACACTTGTTATAATAATCATAGAATTTCCTTACAAATAAGTTGCATTTAGAAACATAAACTGGTTTGTTATGTTACCAGTCAGATAAACACATCAATAGACTCTTGCAGTTAGCTCAAAATCTGACAATCTCTCACTTTGAAAATTAACAGTTAGATAAATATATCGATAAATGTTTGTGATTAGATACAAAAAAAAGCTGATATACTATTATGTATGTTAACTATGTATTAGATAAACTGATGATTAGACTCAAAAACTGAGATACTAGTTTTAATATTAATGATTACATTAATAGATCGATAGATAAACAGATAAACAAATCGATAGTTAAACAGAGTACTAAAAAAACACATTGTTAGATAAACAGATCGATAGATATGTATGGTTAAAACGTCTTTGGCATCTCTTTTGCTATATTACAATACCTGTTATTGGTATTATAGGTATATTATGGATTTTGCTATGCTGAACTATACAATACTTCACAATAGTATAAAGATATAGAAATACTTATAATACCTATAGAAATTTTTACTATAGCTTGTTATTTACTTTTGTTGGCTTTTTGTAGCTACATGAAGCATTTCTCAAAATAGTGAATAGTTGTTCTCAAATGTTCTTTTAAATTAAATGAAAATTTAAACATCACTTTTTAATTTATATTAAACGTTTTTAATTTATTATATTAACGTGTTTTGTTTAAGTCTACATTTTTTATAACATGAAATAAGTCACGTTTATGTCAAGTTTTTTAATTAGTCTTTTTCGAAATTTAGAAATTCTCACTCTCAATATACTCTTTTTACAATACATTAAGACTGAAAAGTTTTCGGAAATTCTCATTTAAAATTCGCGCGCTGTATATTTTTCGATATTTTAAGTTTATGTAGTTTGGCAGCACTGTCCTTATTTACTATGCCAAAAATGAGCGCGATCTGTCAGACAGTTCGTTTACGGCAGCTGTTGAAACCAGTTCACCTCAGTAGTGCGTTGCGAAATGTCTTCGACGGTCGTACGACCGTCCTGAAAGGCTTTGTACCACTCATAAACTTGAGTTTTCGATAAAACTGATTCCCCATAAGCCTTTTGTAGCATTCGCAACGATTCTGCACACGAAATTTCGTTCGAAACACAAAATTTGATGCAAACTCTTTGTTCAATATTTTTTTCCATTGTTTTTTTCGCAACGCACTACTGAGGTGAACTGGTTTCAACAGCTGCCGTAAACGAACTGTCTGACAGATCGCGCTCATTTTTGGCATAGTAATTAAGGACAGTGCTGCCAAACTACATAAACTTAAAATATCGAAAAATATACAGCGCGCGAATTTTAAATGAGAATTTCCGAAAACTTTTCGGTCTTAATGTATATGATTCATATAACTTATACATTGAGTTTAAGCAAAGACGACATCTCTTATCTATAATATATATATATTATCTATTAAAATGTAAGCTGTTTGTATATTAGCAGAATAATAAAATCTAAATTTAATTTAATTAATTTTAAATTTATATTGATTTAATTTATACATTAAGACCGAAAAGTTTTCGGAAATTCTCATTTAAAATTCGCGCGCTGTATATTTTTCGATATTTTAAGTTTATGTAGTTTGGCAGCACTGTCCTTAATTACTATGCCAAAAATGAGCGCGATCTGTCAGACAGTTCGTTTACGGGAGCTGTTGAAACCAGTTCACCTCAGTAGTGCGTTGCGAAAAAAACAATGGAAAAAAATATTGAACAAAGAGTTTGCATCAAATTTTGTGTTTCGAACGAATTTCGTGTGCAGAATCGTTGCGAATGCTACAAAAGGCTTATGGGGAATCAGTTTTATCGAAAACTCAAGTTTATGAGTGGTACAAAGCCTTCCAGGACGGTCGTACGACCGTCGAAGACATTTCGCAACGCACTACTGAGGTGAACTGGTTTCAACAGCTGCCGTAAACGAACTGTCTGACAGATCGCGCTCATTTTTGGCATAGTAATTAAGGACAGTGCTGCCAAACTACATAAACTTAAAATATCGAAAAATATACAGCGCGCGAATTTTAAATGAGAATTTCCGAAAACTTTTCAGTCTTAATGTAAATGGTATTTTCTTTTATGACATGAACTCTTGCTAAGTTTGATATTTATAAGTAAGAAGTTTCTCAATTAAGACAATTGTATTTTTTTTTTAAATTAGATATAAAAAATTGTCAGCTGATTGATACTGATTATTTAAATTTTTAAGTTTTGTTAATATATGGGTTGATATGAAATACAAATATTTTTTATAGTATGTTTCAATATTTCAACTATTGACAATAGTCATAAAAATAAGCGATTATTTTAATATATAAAAAATCTATATAATTAAAAATGGAAAATACAATAGCACTGAAAATTAAATATGATATTAAAAACTGATGTATGTAAATACAATTGTAATAATTACTTATAATATTTATATTCTGTTATACAGCAAATAGAATTTAAAAATATTGCCCTTTATTACTGAATGGTTCATTAATTTTCAGTAATTTTTGTAGATAAAAATATTTCTAGTGTACAAAAATTATTTTTGTTTATATTATGTTATATTGAAATTAAATACACAAGTATTACATATATAATAATTGTATATATGAATAATATATTAGTTATCTTTTTGCGTTACATTATTTTAATTTATTTTTTGTTTTTATAAAATTATATGAATTTCTTATGAAATGAAATATATCACATTATATATATATATATATATGTATATATCTATATGGGGTTATGTAAATATTTATTATTATTACGGAAATAGAGCACAGGAATGGTATATGCACTTTGCTTATGATAAAGCAAAATTTAAATATTATTTTTTTATGTTAATTAAATTTGTAGGAATTTTATTATAGCTTTCCTTTTTCTTTGATTCCCAGCACATTTACTTCATTCCAACCTTACATTTTATAAATCCTACAACACATTTTAGTGAGGCGATTCCTACAACACCTAGACTGCCTCATGGAGTCTTGTAAATGTAACAAATACGTTACATTACAATTTTAATTGTGAATATTACTGTTATCTGCTTTTAACAGACCGAAACCGTAAAAGTCCTTCAGCCAGCACTCATAACTCCTGACAACAAATACTAATGAAAAGCAAATAAAATGTGTGTGGTGCAAGTCAAGTTCAAGATGAAAGTCCTGAAAGTCCTGAAAGTGTGGTGCCAAATGAGAGTCTTGTGGTACGTTTGGTATTGCGGTTGTTGAGGTGCAGTTTTATGAATATTTGCTATCACCTGGCCTGGTTATCCCTAATGCAAATCTTTATTGCACTAGTTCCGTTTTAATAACCTGTTAACAATTTCATGTGCCCTGCGTAGCACATTTTATCTATAAGATAATCTATTCTGAAATTTTTGCAAAAGCAAATACAAATACATTCCGAGAATTTTAGCACTTCTGTTTACATTCTACTTCACAGAAGTCGTTTACATGCGCTTTTGTGAGTTACTACATATAATGTGAGTTGTTTTGGTTTTATTAATTTTTATAAATTTTTCTTATTCCACGGAAAAAGTGCTTGTATCATGCATAGTTAAGATAAGTCAACCATATTTGCATTTGCATAAAAAAAATAATTTGTAAATATTTTCCTTTCGCACAAATGTGCATTGCCATAGAAACTTAAGATACTTACTTCTTTACTTCTGACTGACTGTATGACAATCTTGCTCATAAATTTCTGTAGATACTTTTTTGAAGTCTGTGTGACAGACTTTTACTTTTCCAGTTTGAAATTGTCTGAGCAACGCAAAATGTGTGGGCGTTTATTAGAGGGGAGAATAGTACTTCAAAGTTGTTGGAGGAAGATAAGGTGGATAAGGCGTGTGACTGGCATCAAATGTGCATCAATTTCTAAGTTTGAAAATCAAGAAATTTATCTTATGTGTTCCTTTTATTATTATTACTTTAGAACTTAAGTTATTTAAATTTACTTCTTAAGTATTTTTATGAGTTTTTGACATAATTTTACTTTCTCAATTCTTTTTAGTTTAAGTTTTTTTTTCATCTCCTAATTTATGACTTGCTGTAATAGTATTTGGTAGATTTTTATTTATTTAATTTTTTTTTGGTTTATTTATTGGTTTGGCAAATGTGCAAAATTATCACTCATTTTATAAATGTTAAGTTAAAATTTATTTAATGTTGCAAGAATGTTGATTTTTTTTCTTGGATTTTAAATGCACGTAAGGAGTTGGCTTATTAGATTGACTTTTTTTTTTGGATGTGTTTAAATATATATTTAATATACGTGTTTCTAGTAAAATATAAGCATGCTTTATTTGTATTGTTAAATTATGGTTTGTTATCTCAAATATCACCAACAATTAATTTGCTTTTTAATAAAAAATTTAATAATTCATGGTTTTTGGAAAATTCAAAATTTTTACATATAAATATGAAATTATAAATTAATGTATTTTTTGTCTGTTGTACCCTTTTAATATTCTATAAAAATTCTTTAAATTGTAGGAAGTTGTATTACCTAAAAATCAAGGATCTTTAGGATTCAGCATAATTGGGGGCACAGATCATTCTTGTGTGCCATTCGGAGCACGTGAACCTGGAATATTTATATCACATGTAAGTATTAGAAATATTTTATTAATATTAATTACTTTAGAAGAGTTTGAATTAAAATGAAAAAACAACAACAACAATTTTAGTTAATTTATTGAAGTTTGGCTAACCATGCAACGATGTTTCGTCAAATTTTAATAAATAAAGTAAATTTTTTGTTGGTGTCTTTTCATTTCTATTCGAACACTACTACTTTTCAAATAGCGTCTTTTCGTCAAAAAAAAATTAACATTAAGTAATTACTTTTGATTAGTCATGGGCACGTTAATCTATCTTTAAAGCAAACAACAGTATTAATAACAAATTCACATATTGTAACATCAAAACAAAAAATTAGTCAAATAGTACCAAATAGTACATTGTTTGTGTAATTTCTTAGTGCCTGTCGATAAGCACTCCTATTTTAACGTTGCGTGTTATATCATTGCTTAACTACGCGTATTGATAACAATTTTTTTAAGTGAGTAAATTAAGTCACTACGAACCTATCGCTTCTTTAGATAAAAAATGTTCTTTGTTGCGAAGTATTTGTTTTTTACTTAAAAAAGAAATATAGACTTAAATTGATTAATCTGAAAAGAGCATTAGACGGTGTACTCAAAAAGTAGTCGGAATTTAAAAATTAGTATAAACAAGGTGTAATCAAAAAGGAACGAAAAGTATTGTTTATCAAGTCGAGTTTTTTGTGCATTGGTTGCACTACCAGTAACATACTACCAGTAACTATGAAATAGCTGTCAAGCTCCGTTTGTATTTGCTGACCGAATGTGCAATATTGCATTTGTGGGTTAAGCAATTTTTGTGGGTCTGATCACAATTTGTGTAAAATTTTGTATTAAAAACGTTTATACTTTAACAGGTAGAAACTTTTAAGAATGGTAAAACGCTTTCACCAATATCTCGTAGACAATGATGACGGAATGGTGCGGGCGTTCTAACAGGTCCATTGATAAAGAAAGCATGAAGAAATTTAATAAGCTTTACCTACTAATAAAACAATTAGCATTAGATAGGTGTCTTCAGAAATGCCATATGCCTTATGTGAAGTAGTTTTTGGAAAGGTTTGCAAATGAAACGAGTAATAACAATATATGTGTCCCTAATGTTGAGCCTTTTCCGAGTTATTGCATCTGGGCATTTTTACTCTTTGATAGCTGGGGGTGTTTTTGGAGAGTTCCATCCATCTCACTGCGTCCGTGATCAACATAGTATCACTGTTATGGCGTAACTATTCTGTTCTATTGCGCTTTCAACATTTGTTTTTAATAAAAGATTATGTAATTGCAGAGCAAGCTAAAGGTCGTACCTAAAGGGCGTTCCAACAGTGTTACTCAAACTGTAAAACTACGGCGTACTAAAGACATGATACTAAAGAAAAAAATACATGCACCTAGTAAAATATTTCTCTAAATTTTATATTTACTCTATGAAGTATATCTGTTCGTAATTTGAAATCATAATTACTATATGCTAAGGAATTCTTATATGGTGTATTATATATATATAGGTATATATATATATTATATATATATAGGTATATATATATATTATATATATATAGGTATATATATATATATATGCAAATTTTATTTGAACTTCGCTGTATTTCTATTGATATAATGTAAAAACTTAAAAGTATGTAAAATTAAAATATGTTCTTTTTTTCTCCTTAATATCTTTTATTTGATCACATATATCATCTACGTTTCGCGGTCTCTTTTGATTTGTTCCAGTAAAGAAGATTTCGAGCACAAACTATCCTACCTGCTATGTATTTCGTCAATCTAGGTAGTAGAGTTAATTGAGAAGGAGAACATTTTTTAAATATTAATCCCATAGTTATTGTTTTGCTCTCCTCTTTTGTGTTTATAGTTTTTAGGTAGTTTTGAAGGAATATATGTATATACATATACAAATTTTACTATATATAGTTCAATTCTAGGTTTAGTATTTTAGTTATTAAAATTACCCGACCTGAATCGGACGTCAATCAATTTCGAAACAGAGGCGACATAAATTAATGATGTTAGAAAGTTATAACTTAAAGTTTTAATTTTTTTTATAAATAGAATTGCTCTGATAATCCTTTACACTTTTTTACTTAACGGAAGTATATAAAACAGTAAATTTAAAATAAATCTACTTTCATAATTAATAAATTAATTATATAGTGTTTGTTATAATATCAATAATAACAGAAATATTGTACGAAACCAGACCAAAATTACCAGAACTACGAATTTCATCGACGGAAATCAAAAGCAGCATTGGCTTCGTGGTTGACACATAATTCTGCGTTTCATATTTGATGGGTCAAATAAAGAGTCTGTCATTTGCAGTTATGTCTACATACGGATAATTAAACTAATAAATATTTCCAAATACCAATATATTGCAATATCTAAAACAGCTGTAATATTATTTAAAAAATAATTTTTATTTTTTTTTTCCAATTTTTTGTTTATTATAAAACTTTTACCTTTAATTTAATTTGATTATATATAATTTTCATTAATTAAATTTCGTTTTTGAATTATTGTAGCTTTTTATCAATAACAATAATTTATGTCATATATTTTCTTTATGTTAAAATTTTATCATAATTTTTGTAGTAAATAATAATAGAATACTAATAAATAAATAATTTCAAGCGGGTCCGGAGTTTCTACTGAAACTCACATTCTAAATCTCTCTCCAGATTCATGACAGTTTCTATGTTTCTCATTGAAATCACGTTGCTTTTCGCTAACTTTGTCCAGAGTTTCAGAATATTTTTCTATATTTGATTTCGATTTTTTCCTATGTTTACTCTTATGCCTTTCATTACTGAAAGTGTCTTCGTACATTTGCTTCAAAATTTTTTCATTGTTTTTTGGACTATCGGGTTCTTCACTTGAAGAACTATGGCTTGACTGTATTATATTATCAGTAGAATGTTTTAGTTTTGGTATTTTAAAAGATGTTTTCATCGTAGGAAAATTTAGCATATCATCAGATTCTTTACTAGATCTATGCTGACTGACTTGATCTTTATCAAGTTTCTTAATTTTATAATTCGAAAGATTTTGTATCTTCAAAACCGAAGTCTTGTAATTCTGTGATGTTACTTGTGAGGAACAAGTAGTGGTAGTCGGCATATTTTCGTGTTGAGATAATATATTATGCGTGGTAGTTCTTGACTGCTCTACAGTCCTATTCTGTATCAGTCTCGCACACTTTATCTCGGTTTCTTTTGTCATCTTTTTCTGCTTGTGTTTACTATCCTTTACCTTTCGAATTTTTCCCTTTTGCAAATCGTCTTCCTGCCATCCTTCGGTATTATTTATATTGGTTTGTTTTCGTTTCCTGTAATCTTCAACAGAAATCGTGTTAGTTATCGTTTTATTGCACTGTTCGTCAGGCATTTGTGGTTCAAATGCCTTTCTGGCTATCGCCAGTGCAGCTTCGAATGCTGCGTCGAATTGTTCCTGCCAACTCAGTTCTTGTTGCATTTTATAAGTATTAATTTTATTAAAATATTTAAACAAAATATATTCTTTTGATTAAATTCGTATATTTTTTCCTTCCTTTTTTCTTTAAAATTTAAATAATAATAATAGTTTTCTTAACTAACATATGTTATGTGTTAAGAAAAATTTTATAAATAAATTTAAATAAGAATATACTTAAAGAATATAATCTTAGAATTAAATTTGTATATTTTTGGTTTAATAATCTTTCTAGCTTATATATGTTTGCTTGACAAAACTAGAAAGACTGATTTCAACTATTAAATTTACGTGTTTATATATCAAATCCTGAATGACAGTTTTAACTATCAATGACGACAACAATAAAGCAAAAGGTCAAAAAGGTGTCAAAAAAAAAAAAAAAAAATTCCCTTGACCTTTGAAACGTAGTTTAATTACCTGCAATTCAACCATTTAAGTTATTCAGAAAAGAAAAGAATACGATCCAATCATTTAAGCTATTTATAAAAGAATTTAATTGTCGCTCTAAAGTTTTGGTTTAAGTAGGCAAAACAAAAAGTTGCATTTAGCATAGGTATAGATTGGTTATATTTCGTCATAACAAATGTTACAGGCATCTGTTATGTGGCTTCTCTTAGGTAGATGACTCTCAAAATAAAGCGATAGGCGTTTTTACTTTGATTTACCATGAAATTATTTTTAATATCAAATTTATAGTAAAATTTTGATTACACATATAATACGATATATTAAAATATATATTAGTAGTTCATTGATTTTCGTTGAAAAAAAATTCAATAGCATTACAAAGTTTATCGTGAAAATCAAATTATTTGAAAAAATATTAATCAACATATATTTAGGATCCAAAATTTTTAACTTAAATTAAGATTTATTTATCACAAATATTAACCGTTTTTTTTATTTAAGAATCCATATTTTGAAATGAAATATAAAATATATTTATTTTTATCATTCAAAAACAAATAAAATAATTTTTGACATAAAAATTTGCACTCCCTGATTTTATCAGTTTTTTTATCAGAATATGAATTATTTTTTTAATTATTCGAATAATTATTTTTTATATAAAAAATATTTTTTATTTTAAATATACTTTTATACAAAAATTATTTGCTCTTAGATTTTATTAACAGTGACTTAGTACAAATGTAGTATACTTTCGACAGTTTAAAAGGCAGGAATATTAATTTGTTTCTAAAATATTCGAATAATTAATGATTATTTTTTAAAAAAAGTTCTATTAATCTTGATTAAGTACAAGGACAGTATCTTTCCAAACAAATTTGACAGTTTGAATGAGATTGGAATATGAATTAATATTTTTTAATTATTTAAACAATTAGTAGATACTTTTATACAACAATTATTCACTCTTAGCTTTTATTAACAGTGGCTGACTACCAAAACAGTATCGCTCTATAAATATTTGACAGTTTAAAAGACATTGGTATATTTATTTGTTTTCAAAACATTTGAATAAATTATAGGTATTTTTAAATAAAAATTCTTCACTCGTAGTTATTTAGTACAAAGACAGCATCGTTCCATACACATTTGACAGTTTAAATGAGATTAAAATATGAATTAATTTTTTAATTATTTAAACAATTAGTAGATACTTTTATACAATTTATTTAAACAATTAGTAGATACTTTTATTCAATTTATTTAAACAATTATTAGATACTTTATACAACAGTTATTCGCTCTTAGGTTTTATTAACAGTGGCTGACTACCAAAACAGTATCGCTCTATATTTGACAGTTTAAAAGACATTGGTATATTTATTTGTTTCCAAAACATTTGAATAAAATATAGATATTTTTAAATAAAAATTCTTCACTTGTAGTTATTAATCTTGATTTAGTACAAAGACAGCATCGTTCCATACACATTTGACAGTTTAAATGAGATTGGAACATTAATTTATTTTTAATATATTTATTTATTCTATCTATTTAAAGTAAACTCTTAAAAAATACTAATATACTCGTAGTTGCAATGCCATGCCTATCCAAAGTAATACAAAATCGCATAAATTTATTTCTGAATTATCTTATAAAAGATTTTATACATCTTAGTGTGTATTTGCCCTTTTTAATATTAGGTAAAAGTAATTCATAAGTAATTATGAACTTAATATAATTCTAATATATTTAATATGATGTGTGAATTATAATAAAATAACACCTACAAATATACAAGAATTAAAAAAAATTCAAGATTAGAAATATACCTAATTTTTATGAAAATATTGTGAAGTACATTTGTTTTATTGATTGATGCCTTGCTTGATTCATATATTTCTTTAAAACAAGTCTTTATGTGGTCCAGTGGTTCCTTTACAGTATTAAATTTTCTTCTCCGTAAATGTTTTTTTCGAAGGAAGAAATTTTTTATAGCAGACTTTACGGTTATCGAATTTTTGTTGTGGTTGAAGTCGTTGATCATCTTTTGTCTTAAGAGTGTAGTGAAAGTGATATTGAAATTCATTTGACACTGTTCCAAACGTTGGTGCAGATCTGATAAAAATATTATCTAATCTGGTTTTGATTGCTTTTGGAGTAAAACACTTTAATTTTTAGATGTTTGTTGACTATGCGGAGTATAATATTGAAAATAGAGGGCGAGCGCCCTCTGGTTGAAAATTTTTATTTAAATTTGAAATTGCTTCTTTTGTGGAAACAAAATTCATCCTTTCTGTTCATATTGGAATTGAAAATGTCTAATTCAGGTTAAATCTATTGTTTTATAAACATTTAAATATTTTCGATTAAAAATATTTTAATTTAGTTAGGATTAAGAAATTATTATACATATTGTTCAGGCATGGCTTACAATTACTAAAGGTGTGGAAACATGTGATATAACAGATAAATGTCATATATATTTAATATTTGATTTATGTAAAGATACACAACAGTAGTATTCTAACTCTACCTGTAGATAAAAAGTATCTCAAAATGGATCAGAAACTATACAAATTTCATCATATTGATGATCGATCATTTAGCTCGAGTAATGCAAGTCACTTAACAAAGTTCGGATATCATAATTTGTTTTACGATTTGTTGTTAACCTATTCAAATAAAATAAAACAAAAGATAGGTTTTCGAACATTTACGTGTTCGATCCATATGTTCGAATTTATACTGGAAATATAATTACAAACTTTAAAGTTGCATTCACAATAAATTTTGGTAATTGTATATAAATTGTCAATTTTTGCTATTTTGCCTCTAACAACAGGGATGGCATTTCTGGTAATAAAACGCTGTTTTTGCATATACTAACTATTTAATATAACATATAGAATTCTGCTTAATTTTAGTAGCATTTTAGCAAAACTATCTATATAGGTAACATGATTTTGTCGCTTACTAAAATTAAAATAAATTCTAAGATTAAAAGAAAAGAAATATTTTTTGTCACTATGATATATTGCTCTACGCAAAATACTCTTTTTAAATATTGGATTTAAAGAATTGACAAAATTAAGAGTGTGAACAAAGAAGAAGAGCGAAATACATCGTAATCGGACACATTGTATCAATCGTTATGGTTTTTGACATTTATTTTTATATAGATCTAAGTGACAGTATTGCCAAATGTATCTATTTCGGACTTTAATATGATACCATATGCATTAGTTGATGAAATAATATCAAACTTTTAAACTTTGAGTTATTACTCAAGTAACCGCAAAAAATACGTTCTTTTTTTCTTGAAATTTTACAGAACTGATGGAATCATTATTTGTTTTTTATACATATTGGCTTTGGAAGTATTTTAAGCCAGTTCATTATTTTTAATCCAGAATCTCTTGCGTTTAGTATTGTGGTAGGTAACCCATTTTTCGTCTATAGTAATAATGCGTTTAAAAGTGGATTAATTTCTTCACGTTTTAGAAACAAATTACAGATATCTATGCACGACACAAACTCTTTCTATAAAAATGTATTTATTTTCCATTTCTTGACTTACGAAAACCTAAAAAGCTTAAAATAGGGAAAAAAATTTTGAAGTACTTCAAGCTTATTATTTAAAAATTGTAATTAAAATCTATTTAACTTCTTTACACATAAAAATTATATATAATTTTAAGATTTAAGTCTTAGAATTAACACATCTCTTTAATATTTAAAAATAGTTTCTTCGGCATACAAATTTTATGTTGTATGACAAAAAATCTATTTGGAATAGAAAAAAGCGGAAATATTGAAGAAATTTCCTATTTATAAGAAATTTGTTTTTATCAAGCAAATTCTTGGGCTGACCTGACTGCTTCGGATATCACCAAATGTCCATTATCAGTGATCTTAAATTTAATTAAAAAAGAAATACGTTTTAAAAAACAAAAGTGCTTAAGTATTTATATTTAAGCTTATGTTTATTATTCATGTATTGTGATTAATAACTATATAATATAATTTGTAAAATAAATAAGATTTGATAGGTACGGGGTCTAAGCCTGACACTTGTAGTCCAACAAATTATATAGGAACTATGAACTAATTAAATAAAAATTCGAATATTTTCTAAGATCACTGATGATAAGTACTTGGCAATACTCGAAACAGCATTGTAGCCAAATTCAATAGTCAGCCAAATTTTAATAAACTCACTGAAAGTCTGTTGTTGTTTCTTCATTACTGTTCGAATCCTTCTATAAATAAAAATATTTTATAATTATTAATATAACAAATTTTTTCTTTTTAATTATAGGTTGTTCCAGGTGGTATAGCTTCTCTAAGTAAGAAATTGCGCATGGGTGATCGTATACTCAAAGTGAATGATGTTGATGTCTCTCGTGCTACTCATCAGGACGCCGTCCTGGAACTACTGAAGCCTGGCGATGAAATCAAGTTGACCATTCAACACGATCCCTTACCAGCAGGATTTCAGGTATATATAAATTTCATTTCCATATGAAGGACATTTAATATAAGATATTTAGTTTAATAATTTTTACTATTAAATGCACTGATCCTGATCTTAGCTTACATTTAGTGCTTTTTATCACTTGTAAATTTGTTTTCGAAATTCTTTTCTTTAATACGCAAGCATATACAAGTAGATTACATACCTACTGAGGTAAGTTTATCATAAAAATGAATTTATTTTATATTTGTGTCCGTTTCAATTGTAGAAGTTAGAACTTTAATATTTCCATGAATATTAAGCAAAATATTTTATTTTATTTATTAATTGCTTATTGGCATTTTTTTTATTAACCAGCAATTTAAAATTTTACTTTTTATGACAAAATGTAAATACTTTTTTCTTTATTTCAAATAAGAAAAAAATTTAAAGCAAACGAAATTAAGGATAAGTATTTAGTTTTTATTTTATTAATTATATCAGCTAATTTTTTCATTTGTTTTGACCGTTTTTATTGTTTTCAATTAGCTTAAAATAAAGCACTTGAGATTATTAAGTATAGTTTGGGGCGGCAATTACGAATACTTCCATTATCGCTCATTTCTGATTATAATTGTATGCCTCTTTGTTTTTACTTTCTTGTAGGCTTGTAGGCTTGTAGGCTTTTTCGTTGTAACCTTGCTTAATCCTAACCTCTGATAATAAAAATATTTAAAATCACAATGAAAATCGCAGCTAGTCACTACTGTATACAAATTTTTGCCATTATTTCTTCTATATTATTTGAAGTCGCTTTTATGCTTATTATTTTTATTATGGCCATTGTTATTTAACGTTTTATTTTTATTATACTTTTTATCGTTATAAATCACAGGAAATTATCATCTGCAAAACTGATGGTGAACGTTTGGGTATGCACATTAAAGGCGGACTTAATGGCCAACGCGGCAATCCAGTTGATCCCACGGATGAGGGTGTATTTGTGTCTAAAATTAATTCCGTTGGAGCAGCAAGACGAGATGGAAGGCTTAAGGTAAATTATGGTCAATTATAACATAAAAATATTTTTATTCTTTACTACTATTTTGAGTTTTGTAAATTACCTTGTGTGCTATATTTAAAAATAAATGTCCTTAAAAATCAATTTGCCCTCATTACAAAAAGTGTTATTAAAATCTTAACGTTTCAATATTTTGTAAATAAATTAAATTGTATGTAATCTCAACATCATCTCTAATAATAGCATAATACTTAAATTCATAAAATAAATTTTAATATTATTTAAAAAATATGTTTTTAAATTATTTTACTTAAATTTACACAAAAGGTTGGCATGCGACTACTTGAAGTTAATGGTAATTCACTTTTGGGCGCAGCACATCAGGATGCAGTCAATATTCTACGCAACGCTGGCAATGAGATATATTTGGTTGTTTGTAAGGGTTACGACAAATCCAATTTAATTCATTCCATTGGGACTGGTGGTGGCATGAGCACTGGCTACAGTTCCACAAGCAGTCGACACGGTATGCATTGATTAAATTGAAATTATGTTTTGAATAATAAAATTAATTTATTTTTCAATAAAAATAATATTACTTTTTTGCTTACATATATAAAAATAATAGGATCACGTGCTTCTGAAACTGGTTCGGAATTAAGTCAAAGTCAAAGTGTCTCTAGTTTGGATCATGAAGAGGATGAACGTTTGAGACAAGTAAAAAAAAAATTTGAATATATGCAAAAAAATATGATAATAAATACTTTGTGTTCTTTTTGTTTATGTTAGGATTTTGATGTATTCTCTCAAAAAAGTGAAATATCAAACGATCCATCTCCGTTGGCCGCTGCTGCAGCTTTGGTACATTCACCTCCAGCACAAACACAAGCTGATAACTTGAATTCACAGCAAACAGAAAGTTCGACTGGAGGTATTCCTCAAGTACTGCCAGACTCCATTGTTGCATTAGTGAACTCGGATCAATCAGTGGCAGCACAAACAAAAGAAAAGAGCACCCCTGAAAAGGTAATTATTATTTTGACAATGCTATTATGCAAATGTAGTATTTCATTTAAAAGCTCATACTTTATTAACTTGATAGTTTTGTTCTTTGTCACGACGAATGTTAATGTAATGTTATTTGACATATGAATCTAAATAGTTGTGATTATATTTGTAATTATGTAATTTGCTGACATGTGAACATATAATGTAATATAATATAATGTACATTTATGTTTAATAAATAGTTCTTCTTTAAAGTAACTGAAAAAAACGAGGGTCGCTATTTATATTTTAATCCTTGGCAACACTGATTGTTGTCAGGTGTCATTTGACATTTTCATACGAAAGTTTGACATTATTAAACATTATATACCTTAGACCTTTTGTCAAAAGAGCGTTATTTGACAAATTGAGAAAAATGTGAACAGAATTAACGTGAGAAAATTTACGTGCGACGATTTATTACGACTTTCGACGTGGATTATCAAGACAAACGCGGATCGATCAACTTACTTCTACATTTGACGATGAAGTTCAATTCTTTGCCACTGAGAAACTCTGGAACAATGATTTCAACTGTGTTCATGATTTTTCGCAGTTCGCTCACTGACGAAATTCGTGAACGTCGTGAAAAATCAGTTATTGTGCTAGAAAACATTGATAGATCGTCATCGACATACTGTGAGGTTAAGGAAGAACCTTAGGCATTAGTTCCATCAGCATATATAACATATTGCACGATCATTTAGCCGTGAGAAAGGTTTGTTCTTATTAGATCCCCCATCATTTAATAAAATCTCAAAAAGATGCTCGTATCTATTGGTGCACACAAGTGCTCAAGAAGTACAATAGCTGTGCTTCAAAAGACGTATATGAGATTGTACGAGTAACAGGTGACGAATCGTGAACGCATGCGTATGAGTCGGGACGTAAACAGCAGTCGATTATATAGGCGTTTCAAAATGACATAAATCCAACAAAAGTTGTTCGCGCTCGAAGTATTTCGAAATAAATGTGCACTTATTTTTTCGGGAAAACCGGTTAGGTGGCAACTATACTCATACCATTATAGGAATGTAAAATGGTCAACTCTGAATGGTATTTATTTACCGGAAGTAAATAGAAGAATTATTTGTTTACCGGAAGTCTTCAGTGAAATACGAAAAATAAATAAGTTCCGTCAGATCATTCTCCATCTCCATCAAGGCAATGCGAGTTCGCACACATCTTGTCTCGCAACACACTATTTGAAAATTCAAAAATCAAATAGATCGGTCAACCGTCGTAAAGTCATGATTTGGCACCCAATGACTTCTATTTATGCGGCGGAGGAAACCGTATAAATAGTAACCGTACTACAATATTTTATACTAGTTTCCCAGAGATAAGTAAATTATAGTTGTTCAAAGTCAACCTAAGATTTGTTTTCAATGCTTAAGAGGTTGTTTCCTCGATAAACGTCCTTTCTCTTATATAATTGCACATCAAGACAACATATAAACTTCATTTTGAGCAATAGATCATAAAACATTTTCTTTTACAAAAATTTGATTGAAATGTATTTCGCATATTTTTAAAGATTTCTCTATTAAATCGAACGATTTCAACTTAACTTTGTGACGTAGCAAACTAAACAAAAAAATTATAATAAATAATAAATAATTATAATATAAATAAAGATTTAATTTTAATTTCTGATTTCAAACTTTCAAGAGATGTTAAGAATTCTTCAAAATGGAAGAATTCAGGATTCTAAGAACATATGAATTATACTACTATATTAAATGAATATCAATTATTTAGTAAATCTTCTCAATTTACTAAACGTTATATTAAGCTTTTATACATAAAATAAAATTAGTAAAAATTAAAAGTGTTAGTTTATAGCACCAAAGCAGTTATTGTTGCATATTCAGGTGGTCTATATAAGAATTATAAAATACAAATACATAGACTAGGATAAGGAATAAGTGAGAGGTAGAATTATTTATGATAAGGAGTTGATGAAAAGTGGGTGGGCTGAAACTAGTCTGGGTTGAAACAAAGAAACTTTATCAATTCAATAGTTCGAGGCGGGGAAACTTTGCCAGTAAATTGGGTCAGAAATGAAAATCGATAAAACAAAGCAAAAATGCTAGATGCCAGCACTAAAAACGGCGACTAATTCAAGAAAACTTACTGCCTTAATTGGTAATTGATTCTTGAAGTAATAATTGATTCTTAAAAAAATATGTTTACTTACTTATGTTGAGTAAGTAGTTTTTTTAAACAATTGAGCTAATAATTAGTTTATTACAATGTAGTAATATATTTGTATGTTTTTTTTAAAAAAATATTAAAATTAAATTAACCAAAGTTTTATACATTTATATTTCAAACTTTATTTCATAATTTCATATTATACTTACATTACAAATTATTTTTATTTTATACCTTTAAATTGAATTTTATATAATATTTAAATTTTTTTTTTAAAGTTGAATCTACATCTTTTTTGAGTTTTTTTTTTTTAAATTTTATAATTTTATTGTAATAAAGTTTAATAAATTTTAATTTTAATAACTGGTTTTTATTTTATGTTCATTTTTATTTTATAAATGCTCGTATCTTTTATTTTATATATATTTTTTTAATTATATATGTTAAATTTTAAATTAATAATAAATAATTTATATTATTTTATTGTATTTTATTATATTATATCACATTTTATCATATAAAGTAATATAAATAAATAATAAAATTTATAAAAAATAGTAATCTAATTCTTATTTTATATATTTTATCTGATTTTTATTTTTAAATGCTAATTTAAAAAAAAAATAAAATAATTTTATAATATTAAATGCTTAACTTTACAGGTGTTAGAAATTGTTCGTGCTGCTGATGCATTTACCACAGTTCCACCAAAATCACCATCTGAGCATCATGACCAAGATAAAATTCAAAAGACTACAACAGTTGTTATATCGAAGCACACACTAGATACTAATCCACCTATTCAACAACAACAACAACAACAGCAGCAGCAGCAGCAGCAACAACAACAACCAACATCACACGCAGCCACACCACCAGCTGCAACAGCTACAGTGCCGCCTATATCTCCAACTGTGACTACAAAACCTACAGAGTCGTCCCTTTCAAAGAGTTCTAAAGTTACTACAAATGAAAAACAACCGGAAATGCCACAACAGCAAAATGAACAGGTATGTTAAATTTTAAATTCTTAGTTTTTGTTTATTTTTTTATCATAACCGTTTTGTGTTGTTGCATTGTCACTATATGTCGTTGTGCATATATCGTAAAATAAAATTTCTAAACAAAGTTAAAAGACACTTAAATGTACTGGAAAATATTAAACCTAACCCAATTTAAACATTCACTTTTCATTCACTGTGTGTTACATTATTTTTAATAAATTATTTATTATTTTAGTGTTCGTCTCTAATTCACGTAATTTGTCTAAAAATGTTCGTTAATTATCGTTATTATTAGTTATAGTTAATGTATAAAATTCATGTCTGCACTTTAAATGTCATTCTTCATAATAATTGTTCTTGATTTTATTTTTTTTGTGTTTTTGTACTCATTTCACGGTACTGCAAATCTTAAAAAATTTTTTGGAAAAATCTAATTAAATTTTTTTATGTTGCCAGTGTTGCCTTATTGCCTTATTGTCAATTGTTTTGTTATTGATTTATTTTGCTTTTCTAAAATGGAACTTAATTTCGAATAGTGGGGTTAGTAAGACGTTATATGTTTCCTTCGCAATATGGAATAGGTATTACGATTCTTAAAAACAAAGTTAATATTCTGCAATTTAAAAAAATTGTGTGTTTTATTTTACGATTTTTTTAAAAATTCTTTTCAATTCGTAAGCACCGTATTGAAGAGTTAAAACTAAATTTAAGGAAAATAAAAAATTTCTTTGTATAGTAAAAAAATTTTAAATTAAAAACTAAATGTTCCATATAAAGCCTACTTATTTGCAAAGGTTAGACCTTAGCAAAATCGTTTTATAAGTACATCATAAGTATGAAAAGTGTGTCAGTGCTTGAGACAGTTGGAAAAAGCTACTTGAGTAAGTGCTTTTGGTTTTAGTAAGTTAAAAATAAATATAATTAAAGGAAAAAAATACAGAAACTACCTATAAAATATATAATGATGTTATTTATATTTGTGTTTAAAATTAGTTGTATTATGATTTGAATTATATGTGTGGAAAATAAAAAAAACGTGTTAATACACCTCATAAAACTAACCATAGAGATTTTTTTTTGTAGTATTTCAATTGATATTAAAATATGTTTCAACAAGAAATATACCTGCCATAACAACATTTCTAACATATTTCTCTATAATAAAAATTAGGGTAACAAAATAATGAAAAAACTAAGTTACTCATAATTTTTGTTAATATAATAAATAGCATTTTAAATTAAAAAATTTGTTTGTTAGTTAAAATAAATTAGTATATAAGTGTATAAGGTGTGATCAAAAAGTAATGAGAATTTTTTATTTCATTTATAATGTAATGCTATTTCATTAACTTTAAAGTAGTCCGTAGACTTTTGATATTATGTACTTACGTGATCGAAATTTCCATTTCTAGCGATCGAAAAGACTATTGTAACGTCTTGAGTTCGCTCTAAGATTTTCCGTGTATCATTTTTAATGTTGAGATCTTTCTCATTTGAGTGCCTTTTTAAATTTGGTTAAAGTTACAGATGGTTTCAATTATTGATGGTCTTGTTAATGATATTCAGATCTAGCAATATATTTATATAAATGTATTATTTAAAGTGCTTATTACTTCTTCAAACTTCTTTGTTTAACATTTCAAATACTTCGCTGCAACAATTTTATTTTTAACAAAAAATTTTAATCCGATCTTACGTAATCTCACAAATTTCCTGATGTGACTTTTTACCACTAAATCCATTAATTTTACTTCTTGTTTTTTGGTTTTCCAAACACAAATTGGCATTGCAGCATTTGCTGTGCAACCAATACACAAAAATACTCCATTTATTAAAAATGGTACCGGGAGGATATTTTTAAAATTATTGTTATTTTTTGATCACACCTTATTTAAATTATATTGTTTTTATTTTATTTAAAAAAAAAAAAAATTAAGTATTTCGTCTAGTTCTTATATTTCAAAAAATTATTTGTAGGCAATATTGAAATTATATAGTTTTATGTTTAACGTTTATATTGTTATTAAATTATTTTTCATATTTTAAATTATAATTGATCCAGCAATCCAGTAATATTATAGTTGGTATGTGCTTTCGGGCTGTAACAATAAATTCAATATGAAATTATTTAATCAAGGGACTGAAAACAACATTGAACCATGGAGAGCAGAAAGTTGGTAAAGGACCTTACTTTGACCAAATTTTTCTCATATCTGGAATATAGACAGTCATTTTAATTATAAACAGACTTTTTTCCAAAAATATCAAAGGCTCTTTGTAATATAAAGGCTCATTGTAACCTTTATATAAGAAAAGCTTCTTTTTTTTAATTAATTTTTATAGTTATTTCATTTAGAAATATATCTATATATCAAAATTAATTTTGTGTTCAGGATGGGGCGTTATAACAACTGAATTTTTTAAGTCCACAAAAAGCCTTCAAACAATAAAAATATATTAAGTGATAATTAGTTTTTATTTATTTAAATATATTTTTGTAGTTTATATATTTTACCATAGTTAATATTATTAGAAACGTTTAAGTATTACGCAACGCAAGTTATTGTTATTTTAAACCCTTTTCCCCCTTTCTAAGACTATGTCACATTGTCAGCAAGGTAAAAAAATTAAAATAAATAAAATAATGCAAATGAAAATAAAAATTATATTAAAATTAAATTGAAAAATTATTTAATTGAAAAGAAATTAAATATAAATAAATAAATTAAACATAATTTACAAATAATATAAAAATTAAATAGAAAAAAATTAAAAAAATAAATTAACACAATAAATTAAAAAATAAATAAAAAATATATTAAAAATATATAAAAAATATATTAAAAAATAAATA